TGCCCAGAACACTGACATCATCCAGTGACCTTAGGGCTGACAATCTGTGTTCCCAGCCTAGAGTTATTTTAAAATTTAGGCTTTTAAAAAATGTACATGTAAATATGATAACCACTTTCTACCATGCAAGTTCCCCTTTGAAATGTCTATGTGATCAACTTTCTTAGAAAATCCTACTTGGGTCACCTGGGTGAGGTACTTCCCTTCAAGGGGATAAAAAGCAGGCCACCAAACAGATGCAGGAACCAGCATTGGGTCTTGAGCTTCTTCCTGGTGTTTTTGTGCTTTGTTCACTGCTTTCACTCTTTGCAAATAAATCCTGCTGAGGAGGCAAGGAGTGTAAGGAAGGAGCCCTCATAAGAGGGCAAGGCCTGGCAGGCAGCTTCTCCTGGTTAACCCTTCACTGTTCACATACAGGTTACCCAAAGCAGCTTCACCATCTGGGGCTTCACCAATTTCTGGAGCATGTAATCTTGTCAAATCAGGAATGTGATACTAGTGTGACTCTTGGATGTTATTTGTCCTCAAAGACAAAAGGTGAACCTCCCTCCCTATTAAACATATCTAAAATAACCAAGAGAAACAGTGGCCACTTTACCCCAGCTCTGTGGGGGAAGCTTAAAGGAACCATGCCCAACCAGGGGCGCTTACCGTGAGTCTGTTTTGCATATTCTCACATTATATACGTGATCTAGTAGCATAGGTTTCTCAAGAAGACTTTAATCAGAATTTATGATATGTCGGACCAAATAATACTTGTTCACTCCATGTGGAAAAAACACACTAGACAAAAAGAAAAAAAAAAGCGGGGAAGCAAGGCTGGCAGGTGGGGGTGAGCACAGGAATCAAGAGGATAAAGAGAGTTGTTCACAAATCAAATTAAAAATATGTGCTTCAGATGAAATTATGGCATTTGCAAGTACTTGGATCAAGCTGGAGAATATCATGCTAAGTGAAATAAGCCAAACCCCAAAACCAAAGGCTGAATGTTTTTTCTGATCAGTGGATACTGATCCATAATGGGGGCAGGGGTGGGTAGGGAAGAATGAAGGAACTTTGGATTGGGCAGAGGGAAGTGCGGGGAGGTGAGAGGGTGTGGGAGTGGGAAGGATGGTGGAATGAGATGGACATTATTACATGTATGATTATACTACCGGTGTGATTCTTTTCTGTACTATGTACAGCCAGAGGAATACGAAGTTGTGCTCCATTTGTGTACAATGTTTGAAAATGCATTCTTCTATAACTACTTAGAACAATTTTTTAAAAATAAAAAATAATGTGCTTCAGAACCTAATAAATTCCCCCAGAGAGTGTGTGTGTATGTGTGTGTTGGTTGGTTTCTTTTTCTTCTTTTTTTTTTTTTTTTTTTAGCAAATGTATTGGACAACATAGGTGGTTATTTAATTACCCACTCAAAATAAATCGAAGTGATAAAGTGATCACTGAACCCTGCAATCCTAAAAGATGATCCCTACTGTGATAACTGCAGCCCTCCCCTCCCGTGGAGTTGCAGCATGTGATTTTGCAGAGAGAACAGGACATTGATGCCCTCCCTACATTCCAAATGGCTGAAGGACCAAAGGCATCTGGGGGAAACTTACCAAGGTGTTAGTTATGTGATAGACTGAGCTATGGATATATTTATTTTGAAGCCAATGGGAAGCATGCATGATTATAGATGAAATGGGCATCCTTTGTAATCCAACAAGTATTTATGATTTGTATAAGACAAAATTACCATTTTTGTCCCTGTTTATTGGTGCAGGGGATTGAACCTAAGATCTTGAGCATGTTAGACACATGTTCTACCACTGAGTCACACCCACAGCCTCTGAATGCTCATTTTTAGTCCCTGCTATACAAAATTGTGCTTTTACTAACTTGAAAATGGCCTTCAAAATGCTCTGGTGTCTCTCCATTACAAATTACAAGGCACCCAGCTATTTTTTCACAAAGTCATGTTATAACCATGTTTAGTGGAGCTACTGTTGAGCCTCAAAGATGGTTAACATCCTTTTCCCTGAAAATTAGCACCTTTTGGGACATATTTATGTTAGGGAAAACAGCCCAGAAAATGTTGGGAGGGCATAAGATCCCAGACCCCCTCTGGGGAGGATGTTTGTTTCCCAGGTCCATCTCATGATTGGCTGATTGCTCCAGTTGCTGGGTGGGGTGGGGACTGGGAAGGCTCCCTGCTCTGGCCATGGACAAGGGAAGCCCAGTTCCCTTCTGTGCTTCAGAACCCCCTTCTAGCCATTCTCCTGCTTGCACTCATTTGCCTAAAGCCATCTGTGATTTTGATGCTGAACAAGAGGACCCATGGGACCTGGGTGGAGGGTGCTAATTGGAGCATTATCCCTATTCTCTTTGGTGCAATCCACTCCAGGGATTGGCTCAGCAAGTGGTAAGTTGCACATTCTACCAAGATCTTTCCCTTATTTATTTATGCCACAATTTCATTACCAAAAATTGGCCCTGGTGCTGTGTTTGGTACTCTGTGTGTTGGGACCTCAAGTGCTTCTGAAGGTGAGGTGGCTGCTGTGTAGGATTCAGAGTATCTAAAGATAGACAATAGTGTCCTCATTGGACAAGGTGCTTCTAGGAATGTAATAGAAATGGAGTGACTGCCAATTTGCTAAGACCCTTATGGAGTGAAAGTCAGTGCCATCCCAGGAAATACCATTTGAAGGTAAGAAACTGAGGCATGAAGGTCATGAGGTAATAATAATCAGAGCCTGGGCTTATGACCTGAGAAGCAAGGTTGATTACTCATGAGAAACATCATTCTAAAATTAATTTTCCCCTGTATGTTTTACATATGCATTGTCTAAGTTGCAAATATACTCGCCCAAATCATTAAATGCCATCCATGACATGGGAGAACAGTTCCTCACCTTTTCATTTTAGCAAGAACCCTATTCAGTTGAAACAGCAGCAGCTACCTTTTTTTTTTTTTTTTTGTAATTCACTGAATCCTCTAAACAATCCTGTTTGCTTTTTTCTTAGATGTTGAAACTCTTCAGGTGACGTTACCCACCTTCTAGTATCCATTTATCTTTTAAATTATAAACATCTAAACACCCTAAGTTTTGTGTGCAGTAAGGCAGGGTGTGATTGGATAAATTATTACTCAAGAAGCAGGATAAAAAAATTTTGAGTATTAAATCTGACATACAAAGTCCATGGTTTAAAAATAATTCTAAGCTTTTGTTCCATGCTTACCCATGGTGAAGGGGAGAGGATAGTTCTATTCCATTCTCTGCCTTCCCGAAGGATCTCCCAAAGCTCCTTCTTGCTTTCTCCAAGGTGGGGGAATGGAAGTGGGGGAGCTGGTATCTGTCCCTGCACATGAATTTTGTGCAAAAAAAAGAACTTCTTTTCTTGTCCCTTTTTCTCCCTTTATCAAAGTCATTTCTAGAACTCCACATGATGTTTTCCAGCTCACTTGATCATGTCCAGTTCTAACCTTAAGTGATATGTCTCTCCGTCCTCAAGAGTGACACAGTATGACTTTGGCTCTGTATTGGGCTCCATGTTGTACTAACAAAGTGTCCAGCAGACCCCAGGTCACGAGGAAAAGGCAGAGGATATGGCTGTCTGGGTAACTCCATTCCCTGGCTTCATCCTTTCTGAGGATGGGATGCCCACAGCACTGCCAGGAAAGAGAGGAGCTGCCCAGCCTAGAATAGGCCACCAGGATATTCTGTGATGATGGAAATGCTCTGTACCATTGCTGTTGATTTCTTTCATTTGACTACCGTGACTGGCCATTGATGGGGAAGCTAATTCTCAATTCATTTAAGCTCCATTAGCTCCAAGTGCCTGGGGTTCTTACTCAGGACAGGGCAGTCACATTTCTTCTCCCAATTATGTTACTTTCTTTGCTCTTCACCACTTCCCAGTGTCTTTGATTAGCAATGTTGGCTTCACTCACTGAATTTAGGTCATGGTTCTCATTAGGTCCAGCCCCAAGGCTGGGTGGGGGTGGGGAGGCAACAGAGCAAGGTGGGCTATTGATATCTGATCTGCAGATGTGGGTGCCAGAGGCAGGTGTCTTTACTTAGGAACTCTCTTTGGACATGAGCCTTTAGATTTGACAGGAAGGTGTCAGAGCAAACAGCAGGGCTTTTTAGAGGTTTTGTTTGCTTACAAACAAATTGCAATTGGCAACTTGTCCATCCTTGGGCCCAAGTACATTTGAAAGTATGCCACTAACAATACATGTCCCCAGATCTCTGGGATTTATGCTCAGCAAACATAGTGGGGAGAAAACTAGAGGAGCTGATATGGCAAGGAGAGGTGATAAGAAGACAGTCTCCTGGGAAGTGTGGCCCATGAGGCTTCTGGGCTGTTTACTCACTGGTCAGTCTGAGGAGCTGCAGTAAATTTCTAGCAAATATAGGATTTAGACAAATTTGCCCAGGGCCAAATCCTACAGGCTTTTTCCTTGTCCTCCCAGGGTGTTCTTCCCTCATTTCTATGAAATGTTGATGTAAAGAATTAAGAACTAACAAATGCCTTATAAAAAGAAATAAAAAGAATGTTTTATAACCAATAGGACATAATCCCACCCTTTGAACTGCAAATGAGGAAATGGGCTGAGGGCTACAGAGAGCAGCTCATTCCTAGGGTCCATGTAGAGGGAGAGGCAAGCTGTGGGAGTAGACAGCGAACCTAGGATGCTCCTTCCCTGCAAGTCTGCCCTGTGAATACTCTTCTGTAAGGTGTCCTATTCTTTTTATTATCAGATTTCTCTCAGATTTCATGTATAGCCTCTCCTGTAAGGAGTGATCTGTTTCAGGCAGCCACACAAAGATCCCTATCTAAATCATGCCTCAGAAGAAGTTGTCTAAAAGGATTGGGAGAACAAAAGCTGTTTCAGATTAGGAAAATAGTACTGAAGTGTATTTTTTTCTCCATGTATGACATGTGTCCTGATGTGAGGTTCCAGTGAAGAAGCTTGAAGCATTGAAGCCCCCCATTTCACTGTCTTCCAGGAAATGTTGGAGAAAGCTGGCGTCCTTACCACTGTATCCAAGACAGGCCGACACAAGGCATGGGTGAGGTGAAGGCCAAGGGCATTTGTGATGGCCAGGAAAGGTGAGCCAGGGCATTTATCTAGGGGCTTGATAATCTGGACTACACACTATGCCCTCAGAAATGTTACTTTCAAAAGAAATGTTTTACTTTAAAAAAAAAAAAAATGTGTGTGTGTGTGTGTGGGGGGGGCGTTTAAAGCAGTTGCCCAGATTGAAGAATTGTACATATCTAGAATTAAAGTTTAGCTGTCTTTGTGATGTTCTAAGTAGGACACCTGTGATTGGCCTATGATATCACAAAGATTGACTCCAAAGAAAACAGACACTTGGTATGTTAATTAGGCAAATCCAGATTCTTTCTACTTTCCCTCCTTTCTGCCACAAGAGGGTCTGTGCTCTGATGTGGCATTCTGGTCCTCAAAACTCTTAGAGGGTTGTTCCTGGGAAAATGATCTAAAGGACATTCTGGGCTCACTCTGGTGGGGAGGTGGGGGATGAGGGCTGCTGTAGCAGCAGGTGCAGCTGGGAATGGATACATCCCTGAAGGCATCTGAGAGGACTCTTCTAAGGCTGCCTTCATAACTGAGCAGTGCCAACTACTCTTCCTGTCAAAGATGCCCACCACATTCCCAGGCCCACCTGCTGCCAGAAGAGGACACTGTTAGTGTCACATCATGTCACCAGCAGGCAGCTGGTGGCAGAGTTTGTAATGTCACAGGCTTCAACACAGCATTCTGTACACACAGGGTGTGGGCAAGAGGGTTAAGATATAAGACACATGGGCTGAATCCCTGTGACCTCACACCATATTCTGCCATCAGCTCTCTGCTGGTGGCAAGATGTGGAACTAATGTCTTCCACAATCCCTTCCCCAGGTCTGGGACAATGGGGTGACCTGGCTGTGGGACCTGGCGTGAGGGAGAGATACCTTTTCCATAGACTCTGTCCAGGTGGGCAGGTACCCCAATGCTGTGAGTTCAGAGTCAGAACACTGGTCCTGAGTGTACCCCACATCCTAGCAGGGGACCTTAGCAGGATGCTTCACCTCTTTTCCCCCAGGGTTCTCACCCTGAGAATCTGAACAGCTGTCCCATCTGTACTCTCCATGGGGTCCTTACAGACAACAGTGAAGCAATAACCTTAGGAAATATTTGCCTTCCTGCCTTATTTACCTTACTGTTTGCTTCTGCATCCCCTCCATCATTTTACTAAAGAAACCAAGGCAACCTGTGATCAGGACAATTAGGCTGCCCAGATTGTTGGGTTGGCCACATGTATGCTTGGAAATTTCTTTGCATTGTGTTGCTGCTGCCAAAGATTGGCCAATTTCATCTACAGATTTTTTTCCTTGACTTTTTTTTTTTTTAATTATCTTTCCTTTTATCCCAAATTCACTTCTTGCCAACTCCCCAAGCCTTGGTTGGCATATTTGACATTCACTGTTATCAGCCAAGGAATTAGAAGAGATTATCCCTTTATTCATAGTAGTATATGAAGAGTTCCTCATCTGTGGCCTGTAGGATCCACAGAATGGATAAAAGTTAGGTTGGCTTTTCCCTTAGTTTTATCTGCTTTCCAAATCCTTGCAGAAATCCTTCAGATTTGGTAGTATGATTTGCATGTTTCCAAAGTTTTCCCATTTCTTTCATTTTCATTTCCCATTTTCCTGGCCTTTGGAACTTAAGCATGCTTAAAGTAAGACAAGAAAATCCTTGGAATTATTCAGTAGCTTATAGAGGTCTTCTACTTAGTGACCATCTTCATCTTCAAAGTTTAGCTTTATGCTTCTCTTTAAATATGCAAGGTGCTCGTCTGCCCTCTAGTGGCAGCTTCTTGGTTACTGCATCAAGAACCAAGCTTGTAGAAGCCTTGACGAAATTAAAATATATGTCTTCTAGATTTCATAGACATCCTAGAGAGAGATTAAAAATACTGCAAAACTGAAAGCATCTTCATGGGAGAGGGAACCTAGGATGTTAAAATGAGGATAACACTTACCTGTTATTGAACACTTAACAGAAGCAGCTTTCTAGAATGACAATCCTGGCGGCAGCCTCATGAAATAATTTCCTGTCGTTCCCATCCTACGGAGCAGGATGAGGAGGACAAGGAGAAGGAGGCTGTCAGAGAGGTGGAGTAACTGCTCTGTCTAGGAAGAGGCAGATGTGGGGCCTGTTCTTTATATGGGCACAATAGCCCATGTGGAAACCGGAGGCCAGTAAAGGTTTCCATTACTCCATTGTAGCCCTGCTCTGCAGCTGGGAGCTGACATGGACAAGAAACCCAAATCACACCATCAGTTTCTGTCTACGACCAGAACCCAGGATACCTGCATCTTAGTTCAGGGATATTTCATTTGCTGTACACAGATCTTCTTAAGGTTGTTGACTAGGTGTCAGATACAGATTATCCAGGCTTTGAGGAGCCAGAGCCTGGAGGGCAAGGACCAGGCACCTGGTGCTAACAACTACCTGATAAACTGAGAGTGGCTAAAGTCTTCCAGGCCTAAGGTATCCCAGAGAAGTCAGCACCACTGTGCCAAGGCAGATAACACCCGGAGGCTGACTGTGCACTACAACTTGAACTCTGGAAGAACCTGCAGGAAACATAGGTAGAAGATGGCATGGACCTGAAATTGGCTTTGGGTGCTTAAGGACCAGTGTAAATGTTGGTGCTGCCACTTACAAATTGGTATGAACTTGGACAAATTAACTCAACCACCTGGGCCTCCACAATCCCCTCTTACAAAGTAATTGCTCTTAACTCTGTGTTAATTTTCTGTTGCCTTCAGTAAGGCATTGAAATAACCAATTTATAAAGAGAAAATTTTGTTTTGCTCACAGTTTTGGAGGTCCCAGTCCCTGATGGGTTGACCCTGTCACTTTTAGGCAGCACAGCCCACAGGGAACACGTTGCAGAGCAAAATTCCTAATCTCGTGACCAGGAAGTAGGAAGCCAGAAATACCTGGGTCCCACAGTCCCCTTTGAGGACTCAACCCCAATGACCCAAAGACCTCCCAGTAGGCCCCACCTCTCAAAGGTTCCATTGCTTCCCCATTGTGCCACTCTGGGGACCATGACTTCATCTCACTGGGCTTTGGGAGACACTGAAGATCCAAACTGCAGCATCCTCTCCAATTTTCTGTAAAGATTAAGGAGAATTTCAGGGTGTACCCCGAAGTGTTGGCAGTGTTGCACATTCACGTGACCACGAACTGGCATTGTTCCTGTCTACAGCCTGCCCAATCCACACAGGGCTACAAGAACGTGGCCTCAGACTGAGAGTGAACTGCAAGATCCACAGAAGGTGAAGCATGAGATGGGAGTGTCACCGGATGAGGTCTGAGGAGGTCCCAGAAGGGAAAAGAGCACTTCAGCTCAGCTTTGGCAGGTTTTTTACTTACACTATAGAAAGGAATTTCAGGGTGCATCAAAAGAGGCACAAATAGAGACTTGTTCAGGGAAACAAGGAGATTTATTCAGCGATAGAGCAGGATTTGCATTCAAAGGGAGGAATGCTTTGGGGCAGCAAAACAACTTCCCCTCCATCCTCTTAGGGACTTATCAGTGGGTGAGGTATTGGGGGTCTCTGGCTTATTTTAAAGGAAACCTTGTAAAAGGCAAACATGAGAAATGTAAGGGGGTGCCATCAGGCTAATGAACTCGATTCCTTGGATTGTGGAGCACAGAGCAGGCCGTGGTGGTCTGGTTCTTCTCAGAATCTTCTGGTTGACACTATCTAGTTAATACGTAGCACTTGGAGGGCACCATATCATGGGTCTTTAACGATGTCTCTCTAGACTTTTAAAAATCCGTCTAAAAATACGTTTTGTAAACAACGATATGTAGGCACTAATTAACTGGACTTGTGGTACTATAAAATTTATTGACCCTTTTAAGAATTTAGACCTGGAGCAAAATAGGCCTGAGGGGTGAAAGTGAAGGTATTCATGGAGCTTCCATACTTAAAGTTTGAGTCCCTGTTTTCTTCTGTCTCCTTTCTACCTAGCCTCATTTTTCCATCCTACTTCAGAAGCAAGTGGAGTCCTGGAAAGGTGGCAGCTTCGGGGCTTAGCATGAGGGACAGCTCTTTGCATCTGAGCAGTCCAGGCCTGCAGACAGCTGGAAAATAGAAAATAGAATGCAATTGAACCCATAGGCATTCTTCCTTTTTATTTTTTTTAATTAAAAAAAATTAAATTCTGTACTAAGTTGCTGAGTCTGATCTCAAACTTGTGATCCTCCTTTGCCTCACCCTCCCAACATTACAGGTGTGCACAATCATGCCGGCTGTGAGCATGGTTTTAACAGATGGGAACTGACTGCTTTTAACAAGTCATATGGGAACTGAATTTCAGTGAACTCTGGCAAACAACCCTCAAATTTGGAAGACCAAGTGCACCTAGAAGCAGTTGCTGCTTGCTTGTGTGGCAGCCAATTTTGTGCTTAAGGAATCTGTGACAGAAATATAGATGGCTACAGAATGGTTATGATTAAACAATGGTGCTTAAATTAATGGCCCTCTATTTATTTCCACCCCTTCAGGTGTCTCCAGGACGCTTGCTACCTTTCTTGGTACGGCCAGACCCCTATAGAGGCTCAGAAGAATAGAAGTCTTCGACTGTGCAGCTACAGCCTTTGCCTTCCTTACAGCCAAGGGCCAGTGGGTGAGGTGCTGGGAAAGGGACATGGCTACCAAATCCTGGCCAAGGGCACCCACAAGCTGGAGGGTTTCAACCCTTTCCCACAGGAGGAGACAAGGACTCTGTGCAGCACCACCCATGGTGGGAGGCGGCCTTGGGGTTTAGAACACATGTCTGAACCTAAGCCTGTGGGCTCAGCTCTTCCCCTGAGGATTCCCTTCATTGGGAAGTGGGGTGGGATCTTAGTAAACACATATTACACCTGTAATCCCACTGGCTCAGGAGGCTGAAGCAGGAGGATCGTGAGTTCAAAGCCAGCCTCAGCAATGGTGAGGCGCTAAGCAACTCAGTGAGACCCTGTCTCTAAATACAAAACAGGGCTGGGGATGTGACTCAGTGGTCTAGTGCCCCTGAGTTCAATCCACAGTACTCCTCACCCCTACCCCCACCCCAAAAAATATAAGTTACTGTTATAGGGGCAGCAAAACAACTGCACCTCCATCCTCTTAGGGACTTATCTGGGCCTGCAAATAAACTGGTCTAAGAAGATTAAAGGGGGAAAACTTAAAAATTTATTTTATACAAGTTTTATGTGTCCTGGGAACCCTCATAAGAAAATGAAGACCTGAAGAAGAGTTAGTCAGTGACTTCCATATTCAGTTGGACAGAGAATGGCAAATTTTGGAAATGTCATAAGGCCAAGGCTATTGAGGAAGACCAGGAAGATAAGGGTTAGTTTAACAAGCCTGTTTGTATAGGATTCTCTTGGCCTTAACATTGGTGATAAGAATGTTGCTTTTATTGCTTGCATAGGAAGGGCATCTTTCACATGGGAATTTCATCTTCTGCTTTTAAGAAAGAGATGAAGGTCACAGTGATCTTGCACTTGTGGTTTTCAGAGCTTTTAACTTAACAATCAATAGATCAGGGTTGTATATTTTAACTCCTTCTCTGGGGCACACCACAGACCTTCTGTTCCAGGAAGGATACAGAGGCCAACCCTGAGAACCCCTGTGTATATAGTGGGGCCTCCAGAGGCCAGTAAGGGGAATGCTAATGTTCTAAGAAGTTCCATGTGTATTGGGGTGGAGGCTAGAGGGCATTCTTGTTCCTCCTTCACCCAGGGAATATTTCCAGTTTTTTTGTTTTGTTTTTGTTTTTCAGTATTGAGGATAGAACCCAGAGCCTTCAGCATGTCAGGCAAGTACTCTTCCACAGAACTACATTCCCAGACCCAAGTATTAATTTTTTAGATAATAGTAATAAAATAGTTGACTGAAATTTAATTTCCATATTCCTTTAAGTAGAAATAACTTTTTCAACTTCGATTATGCATTTCATAGATAAGAGGAGCTAAAAAATACTGACTTTAAATTTTTAAAGAAAATGTCAGGGACACATCAGTTTGTTTTAACAGGTCAGACTTTTCTTCACATCACTGAAGCACAGTAGTTTTGAAGACTGATGACTTTGGAAGACACAAAGGAACTTACTATTCTGATTAATTCCAAAAAAATTCTAAATATTTTCCCCCACAGGTATATCCAGTTCAAGAAATGATTTCATACCTGAGCGGTCACATCCATCCTGTGGTTGACAGCTGAATCAAACTCCTAAATTACTTTTAAAGAACAGGATCATAGCCTTAAGTTTTTATCTCCAGTGTTTATTATCACAAGATATTAATACACTGGATTCTTGATAGTAAATTGTAATGCTGACTCCAAATGTTTAAACTGGATTCAACATTGTTCTAGAAAGTTGAGTGTTCTGGAAAACTAGGGGAAGCTGACAACCTGTGATACTGCCCAAGTGGTACCCTGAAATTAACAAATACCACTTTGAAGCATCATCCTCTATTGGCCAGGCCCTGCCCTGCCCTGGTGCAGCTCCAAAACTTGCCACTCAAAGTGTAGCATGGGACCTGGGACTGGGTTCTTTGTATTGCAAATTCCAAGAATGGAATCCACAGATACAAGGGTGAGAGCAAAGTAACAGGATGTATTAGAGTAATCAAAGGAAAGAAAGCAGAGCTCCCAAAGGGGAAAGGTCCCAAGGGAGGGATGCCACAGTGTGGCTGTTGTCTAGGGTTTATATAGATCTCTAGGGTTAAGCTAACCTCCTCCCCATTCCTGGGTAAGACACTCAGTGTCCACAAGCTCTTCACATACCCTTTCTCCAATCAGGTTCCTGTGCCTTTTTTGGTGGTGATGGTGGTGGAGTCTGGATACTAGGCAGCATGTGTCTCACTATCAGCTACTTTTTCTGCATACACAGGAGTTTGCCTAACTTTGATGAGGCCTGGCTTGTGTCTGTAGTTTCTCAGTCTGCTACACAGAAAGTTGACCTTGAAGGAGCCCACGTTTCCTGCTTGCTCATTTTAACTTTTCTCCTGCCTCAAAAGCAGCCTGCAGAGCTTCAGTTTCCTCTCCCTGTGAGTGCCTCTGGTCCATGTAAGAGGCTGGGGTTAAAGGAGCATAGACCTATGCGTTCCCTTATAGAACTGGAGGTCAAACAGAACAGCAGCACTGTGCTCCCCTCCCCTCTGCAGCCCTCCAGTCCCACCTCCCCTCACAGAGTCCTTGTCCCACCCTCCTGCTCTGGGGACAAGGACTCTGTGAGGGGAGAAACGGGCTGAAGAAAGGGAAACTCTTGCACCAGGGACACTGTCTGGCTTCACACTCAGGGTGGCTCTGTGCAGGGCCAACTGAAGCAGAAACATTTTTCTTTAACTTTGATTATGAACAAATTCAAATACTCACACAGTAGGAAATGGTATCATGAATACCTTTGAACAGGGGTCAAGATCTTCCTACATCTGCTCTCCACACACATGGAAGGCAACAGCGCCCTTCTTCCCCTGCCAGGTGGAGGCTGGCCCCTGGGCCTTCTGCTTGCCTGTGGTCACAGCCAGATTGCCTGTGTGTACTCCTAGCTGTAACTTCAGGACATCCTCATTGCTCTTCCTTTTTGCTTTTCCACAGTTCCTCTGGACTGTGGTTTCCTCCCCTTTGCTACACATCACTGAGTTGTGACCCCTTTGTCACCATCATTTTAGAGTTGGACTATCAGTGTATTTCTGTCAGAGACAATCTTCCTGGTGTGGCCAGTAGTAGTGCCTTCCCGACATTGCCTACTGTGTTACACCTGATGTCAGCATGCATCCCAAGGAGTCCAGTCTTCTTAATTAGCCTATAGTCCAGGGCAGCCTTGACCTGGCATAGAGGCCAAGTCTTTGTTTCTGCTTTTATCTCCCTGCACATGGCCGCCTTCCAAATATGCTTTTCTCCTTCTCTAGATACCCATGCTAATTCCATGCTGTTGGTGAGCAATGAGCAGTGTAGCTGTCCTGCCTGTGCTCTGAAAGGGATGACAGGAAACTTCAAGTTCCAGAAGCTGCAACCATGGGCTCCCAGGGAGAAGGTGTGCCTTACACCGAGCTGCTCCTATGTCCGGGGAAATGTAGCTTTTCTTCCAGAGAACAGTACGTGTGCACCATGCTGCTTGGAAAGCCTGTGTATTCCAGCAGTTTGTCAGGTACTGTGTTCCCATCATGCATGTTTGTGCCCAAGAAACAAGCCTAAGTTATAGAGTTTTCATTCTGTGGTGACAACCAGAACATAGCTCCACAGAACAGAAATGTGGAGAAGGCAGCCTCAGCCCAGGGGAGGGGGATTACAGCTCAGGTGGAGATTGGGGCTGTCCCTCAGGTAGGAGGTGGGACAGTTCCCCAGGTGAGGAATGGAGTTGTTCCCAAAATGGGGAGTGGATTGTTCCTCAGGTGGAGAATGGGGCTGTGCCTCAGGTAGAGAGGGGGGCTATCATGGGAGAAGAAATGTCTCTGAAGAATGATCCTAGGAGTTCCCAGAAAGAAAGGAGAATTTGACTCAGGACCAATGGGTATCTTAGCATAGATGATAGAACAGAATTTCAGAATTTACCAGTTAAAGGCATAGAGAGAAGTTTATTTGGAAAAGTAATTATGTATTCAAGGGAGAATGGGGGCAAACTCAAGAGAGAGAGAGGCCAGTGACTCAGGGGGTGGCTGAGGGAAGAGGATAACAAGCTCGAGGCCAGCCTCAGCAACTTAGCAAGGTTTTGTCTCAAAATAAAAAATAAAAATGAGATATCGCACCCTTGGGTTCATTCCACAAAGATGTGGGGAAGGGAAAGGAGGAGGGAGAGAGACTCTCTACTCTCCAGATACAAAATGTATACCCTATAGCCACATACCCAATGAATCACTTCTTCCAGCCACAGCCCTACTGCCTCCAGTTACCACTCAGTTTAACCCATCAGGGATTAATTCACTGATTAGGTTAAGGCTATAACCCAATCAGTTCTCTGATCCTTCTTGTATTGTCTCACATGTGAGCTTTTGGGGGCTACCTCACTTCAAAACCATAACAGTTTCTCAGAAGTTGCAATTATTCATGGGCACTTTCTGTATTTCAGTGGTTTCATGTGTGTTTCCTACATTTTAATAGTTCAGGATGCTTTCTTTGGGACTCAGTATCTCTCCCTGTATTACCAAATTTCTTTCTCAGGGCTGTTCCCCAAGTAGGAAGGGAGGTCATCCTTCAGGCAAGGTGGGGTCCAGTCTCACAGATGGGGGTGGTACTCCCTCTCAGAATGCTCCAACCAGAAAAGGCTGCTAGCGGCTGAGAGCACAGGAAGCATGTTTTCTTTGAGGGGTGTGGGGAAGCTCTTTGAAGTCCCTATTAATAAAGTTCTAGTTACCTGGAAGTACAGGAGTTCATTGATACCTGTTTGTCAGAGGACTGACAGAGATGGGGTCTAAAGGCTGGGGTAAGGGGACAGGCACTGGCAGTCAATAGAAATGAGAACACAGGGGATATCCTAAGGATGGGGAAGGTGGAGGGTGGTTGCCATACTGGGGGTGGGGCAGGAAGAAGAACAAAAACTACCTGGACTGATATGCTTTTAACCAATGCTTTTGACTCCAGTTACACAAAATCAACCCAGAATTGGTGCTTTTGTGTTTCAAATTCCAGGAGCCAGTTCTCTGGGGAAGCTCCCCGATTGTCTGCTGGCCTTGGGAAAAATTACTCTGGAGTTAATTTTTTTTTCAAATTCTTTATGGAGGCAACATTACAAGACTTTCCCTGTCTTATGCGTAGTACATCCAACAGCATTTGTGTTGAAAATGAACTTGAATTCAATCTGCATTGTTCATATTTGGAAGCCCTTCTATTCTAAGATTTCACTTCTGGCTAGGAATAAAGTTCAAAAAGGTATTTTGGAGGTTCTCAAGAAAGAATGCTTAAGCAAAGGTGAATGTCTAATGATAGTCTTATGAGTCCAATGATGGAAGAAGAAGGACCTGCATTTCTCATGTTAACAATGCCAGTAGCTCCATCTGATGACTCTTATTGGTCCTCAGCACCACCCCACCCCCAGTCCCCACCTGCAACTTACACAAGGGGCAAACAGACCTCATGCCTCTTGAGCATTTGGTGAAGATCTGTTATGCAGGGTCACCTGTGGAGCTTCAAAATCAACAGACTGTTAGAAATACCCAGGTGCTGCAAGAAATCAAACACATGCTGGGAAGTGGTCCAAAATGAGTGGGCAAGGCAAATTTTACTTGTGTTGGGATACCTGGCTAGTAAGTGTTCCAGGAGGACAGTCAGCCTGCTTTCATCCCTAACGCATTGCTTCCCTTTGTCCTGATAGGAGGATCTCAGGGTTACAATCTATGCAATTAGCTAATTTTAAAATTGGGGAGGACAAAGGGAAGGGATATAATTAAAATGGCTACTATTCAAGTGGATCTTACATCCCAATTAAAACTAAATACTATCTTCTGCTACTTCTTACAAGACCAAGTCAATCAGTGCCCAACCCCTACCTGTACATATTCTAACAGGATAAGTCTGGCATTGTTCTGTGCCTTGATGCATCCCTCTCCCTCCCCCCACCACCTGGACCTCAGCTGTCAGCACAGATGGATGCCTTCAGAACTTGACCATCAGAGTTCTGGGAGTCTCCATACTGAAATGTGCACCAAGGGGCTCTCTAGTTCCTGCTGTGAGACCACCCTCTGCACTGCTTTCTGGCAGTTTCCTCTCCATAGCCTCAGCAGACTGCCAGTTCATGCTCAAGTGAAGGCCACAGGAAGTCATGATCCAGGGCAACTTGTTGATGGGGCTTAGTTACAGGCTCATTCATGTCCTGCAAAGTTAAGATTCTGCATGGAGTTTTAAAAATCCTTCTGCTACAAGAGGAAAATCAAATATGTCTTTTTAACTTCCAGAGGATTTGAAGAGTTCTTTTTATTGGTGGAACTGATTACAATGAATTAAAGTCATAGTTGGTAGTTTAAATGTTATGAGGTTAAGAAACAAATTCAATTTTCTAGTTCCAACATAAAAGGAGTAAATACATCTCATCAGGTCTACTATTTCAGTAGAACCTTATGGATTATGGAAGACTAAGAGAAAGGGGAAGTGGAATTTCTCCAGCAGGCTTGAACCCCAGCTGTTTGAGGTGCCTGTAGGTGGTTTTCCTAGTCGTACTGCTCATGTTCATACATTGGGACACTCTGTACTTGCCTCAGGCATGGTGATAACCCCTGCAGATGATCAGCATAACCTCTTTGTCATAGCACCTTCAGGTATGTGGAGTGCACGGTTTTTGGAGTTTGTCACTTTCTGAATTCTGTTGGAGATGTGAGCATCTTGATTGTGTTCTTGAAGGAGGCAGATTCAGGACTTCTGAGCCTAGCACTGCACTGATTCAGACCACAGCCACTCTGGGTATTGCACCTCTCCCCATGCTCAGTGGAGGACCCAAGGATCCTGAGAATGAACTGGAAAAGGCCCTGCCCTCAAGAAACTCATGGCCAAGAAAGGAAGAGAAACACCATGCCCATGAAAAATATCACCAAAGAACTGTGTCCAGAGGCTACAAGGAGCCCAAGAGGGTAACACCTCCTCTTGGAGACTGGGGGTAGTGAATACTAAGGCTGAACTTTGATGGATGAACAAGGGTTAGATGAAAGCAGAATTTGGAAAAGGCATTGACTGCAAAGAGAAACATGATATTTTTGGAGGAATATTTGAAGTAAAATATGTGGAGAAGAGCTGTGATAAAAAAATTAAGCTAAAAAGATAATCAGAGTAGATTCAGAGATTTCTTATACTAAATTTAGGAAGCTATCATGTAATTTTAGAACTTCAATAGTTATCAGAGAGTTTATCAATATTTTCATAGCTGTGTTCTTATTTAATATGAAGTGCAACTTATATTTTCCTTTATTTTTTTCTTCTTACTTTTCTCTCTCTTTTCAAAAACCATTTAACAATTTTTTTGGAGAGCCGGTACTGGGAATTGAACTCAGAGTTGCTTTACCACTGAGCTACATCCCCAGCCCTTTTTATTGTTTACTCTGCCACAGGGCCTCACCAAGTTGCAAAGGCTGGTCTCAAACTTGCCATCCTCCTGCCTCAGGTTCCCAAGAACCATCAAACAATTTTAAAATGTGTAATTTGGTGGCATTTAGTACATTCACAATGTTGTGCTACAGTTATCACTGTCTGTTTCAGAGCACTTCATCACCCCAAAAGGAGGCCTGATACTCATTAAGCAGTCACTCCTGGCCTCTCCTCCCCTCCCCTCTGGAAACCACTAACCTGCCTTCTGTGTCTGTATATTTGCTTTTTCTGGATATTTCATGTAAATAGTTAAAGTTGGAAGATAAATCTAGGCCTTAAAATTGTCTTAGACACTAGCTTCTGTGAAAAAAATAAAATCTGTAGAAAAGACTCTCTGTTCTGGGAACTACAGAGAGAAACAATAGCTAAAAGGGGGGATTTGGAGGCTTCTGGGGCTCTGTGGATCCCTCTCCTTTGCTGATCAGCTCCTCTTGCCTGTTAGCATTTGCAGACAGGTGGAACTGCCTTGGTTTCTGGGTTGGATATTTTCAGAAAGGGCCAGGATCAGCCCAGGCCCTGCACTGGGTGGGGTATTCCTGTTCTTGCTATAGAAGAGATGAGACAGGAGCTGTCATGTAACCAGATGTGAGTTGGCATCTCAGCCTCCAATGTGGCTTTCCTGAATTTTCTCCTGGGAGCTGAAGCATCTGGAAGCTGGCAGTTACAGATCTGTAAAATACTTGGAAAGTCAGTGCTTGTACAGTTCCATGTGCATGTTCCAGAGAGGGGAAGAGCCAACTTCTATACCAATGTTAATTTCCTGGAAATGCTGGTTTTAAAAAAAAATGTCAAGAAGCAAAAATGAAGTTCTGGGCCCTCAATCTGAGGCATGGTGACTGCTTTCCATATGTAAGTTCACAATGGGTATTGTTTGGGGACAGAGCTTTCTGTGTGGGGGCAATGAGTGGCCAGCTTTGACTCCTTCCCATGCTGTAGGTACCTCCCTGCTGTCCCAGTCACAGAGGAATTGTAGTTTTATTACAAGGAGAGCTGCATGGGTCAAAGCAGAGGTGTCAAATCCTCATGGGTAAAGTCCTCATGGCCTGATGGATTCCAGGCATACCAACCCCCACTCCCAGGCCCAAGTTCTGACTACGCTTAGGTCAAGCACATTGTTATTCTGGCATTCTCTCAGTCTAGCAACCGGTCCATCTGTCCTAGCTTCACAGGCATCTGTCCAATACTGTCTCCTTGGCTACTCTAGGTGGGCTGCTATCAGCTCCATCCAAATGGGTCCCCTGCCTTCCATTCCCCATTGTTTTTTCATACAGCAGCCAGACTGATGCTTCTGTAGCACAGGTTGATGAGGACACATGTGCCCAGAGCCCTCCACCTCTTTCAGAATGAAGCTCTGTGTCCTCCATCTGACCACTCCCATCCTCCACTTATTCTGAGGTCACCTCCTGGGCTGTCCTGTTACCCTCAGGTCATTGCAGCCCACCACACTCTTTGACACTCCTCCAATGGGACAGGCATCCTCCTGCAACTTCAGCTTTCTTCAGCTCCATTCAGATGTCTCACCACAGAGTAGCCTTTTGGTAACAGCCCCCCAAACCACCTGACTCTAACCCTCGCCCTCTGTGCTCTCTGGCAGCATTGGGGAACAGAGCCCATCTGTCCTCCTTGCTGCCTTTTCTCTAGAGTCCAGGGCAGTACCTGGCATGCATCAGAGATCAGTGCTATTTTGTGAGTAGAGATTGTTACTTTCCCAGATGTTGTCATAAGCAACTCTGACACTATTTTATTTTTTTCTCACAGAGCTTTTTGAAAACAACTAGAAAAGAAGCATTAAGTGCTATTAACAAAAGAACACAAGCTCCTTGTGGTTGGGAGAACAGTGCTGACAGGTACGTCCATGAACCATAGCTAAGTCAGGTTTTTCTGAACATTGCAGATGGCATGGGACTTGCAAAGAACCAGTCTTATGTCAAAGTCAAAGCTGGCTTCACAAGCCAAGAGTGGATTAGAAAATGTACCCCTTAGCTCCAATGGAAAAAAAAAAGAATGGAACTTTGAACTAGTATGCAAAATTGGACCAAGTAGCATGATGAATTTAACCTTGAGTGTTGGGGGTTACACAAGGTGATTTCAGATAAGATTCCTCCTGTCACTGTAGGGAACTCTGGGAAGTACACAGTGAGCCTTAGCTGGGTGCAAGTACTAGATTTCATGGGTGCAGAGCATGTGGACCTGAAAAGAGTAGAATTAGGTGAATCTCACGAGTGCTATGCTTTGTGAAATAGCCAGTCATTTAAAAAGGCAAATATTACTTGCTTCTCTTTATGAGATGCTTAGAGAGGTCTAATTCATACAGACAGAAAGCAGAATGATGGTGTCAGAGGAAGGGCATTGGAAGGACAGTGGGTAAATACGTGCCTGCTACAGCCCCAGTTTCGAAGTTTGGGCCAAGTAGTCTTCCCCGACAGTAGGTTCAAGAGCTGAAGCATTTCAATTTATCTTAACAAGTTGTTTAGGAATTAACCAAAGTGTAACTCTGTTCAATTAAAGAGAAATCTTCAACTAGAATTAGTGTTCCCTCTGGGCTGCCTTGGGAAATGTCTTTCTTGTCTCTGCCACCCATGTGTGACCTGAGAATGAGCAGTCAACCAGGGCAGTGGTGACATTCTCCCTGTGCTGAGCTTCTGGGCTCCATTTCCCACCCACCGTTTGGCTGGCACAGTCCTTCCTTGGCCTGCAGTGGTAGTGAACCAAAGGTGGTTGGGTGAGCTAACCTCTGGACAGTGTGCTTGGTTGGCTTTCCTTTCCGGAAACAGAAGGCCTCTTAGCTTTGAGCAGAGTGAGGGTGTCTGTGGAGTACCTGTTGTCTGCCTTCTGCTGTCTATGAGGACACTCCCCATGTCAGCCCCTTGCTCAGAGGCCATTACACTTACACAGACAGGCACACGTACCCTTTTCCTTCTTTCCTGAAGCTCAACTAAGACAGCAGGATTTTTCCTTTTTAAAAGAACCTTACTACATTAAGAACTAAAAAAATATAAATATAGAAAGCAAGTTGGCAGGCTGATGAACAGATTAGAAAATATGTCACATTCCTAAGAAGGGCAAAACTAACTTGAGATATTCCTTCTGGAAAAGAGAAGGGTCAGGAAGACTGGCCATCAAAAGTTTCCGAGATCAGGTTTCAGATGAAGGAGAGAAGAGCGCATGTGTTCTGCACCTTAAACTCCAAAGTTCAAGGAAGGCCATGGTGGAGAAGGGCATAGGGAGGCAGATGATGAGAGTTCAGGAACCAGTGCTACCTTCTGATTTTAACCAATATAACAGTTCACTCTCTTCGCTGGGCAAGTCTGTTCCCTGCAGAGCTCTGGCATGTTGCAAACACTGATAGTAAATAGAGTTAAGGCCCCAGAGGCTGACTAATGTGGATGGGGGCTTGAGGGGCCAACTAACCCCACCCACACACCCAGGGCTCAAACCCAAGACCTGCCACCCTTAACCTCAAAACTCTAGGCCTGTATCCCTAGCCTATGGCCATATACTACAGTGCTTTTCAGTCAACCCAGGCCAACGTCCAGACCCCACAGGACAGACAGGGCATGTATAGAAAGTGATTTGCTCATCATGAAACTTCCAAAGCAGTGTTTTAGGTGGGCACAGATTTTTGTAAATTGCTCTAAATGTGCTCCCCTCTATCATGAGAACTTCTCCTAGAGCACCTGACCCAGGACTGTCTAGTTTACTTTCTGAGCAGATCATATCTCTGATGGTCCTTTGGGAAGGACTCCTGGAAATAGACCTCAGGTCACAGTAAGGGTCTTTCCAGCAGACTGGGATGATTAGAATCAGGTACCAAATGCATGACAGAAACAACACCAGATTTCCTTCTCATTCTGCCTTTTCTTTCATGATCAGAGCCCCTCACAAACTTTCTGCCGTGATTGGGAACCTCTGGAACAGCTGTGGCCCCAGCTTCTGTTATCAGCAGCTGCATGCCCCTAGGAAAGCAGATGGCACATTCTCTGGTCTATGTGAGGTTGGTGTCTGATCCCTGCCACACTGAACTTTATCAGAAAGCTACTGGTGAGAGTCTGGGGAACTGTACTTGGAGTTTGTCAGTGACCCCTTTTTTGCCTTTCTAAGTTCTTTGGACACTGCACAAGCAGTTTTAAGGTATGAATAAAATTTGTCACTGCAATAAGGGAAAATCTACAATTTTATTGTCTTAAAGTGTGTCATTTCTGAGCTATTGGCTTCAATTGTAGAAGGTCATGTAAAATACCTGAATTCCTATCAGCTTAGCATGAATGGATAAGAAATGATCCTGAAATTCCTGATAAGACCTGCCTCCTATGTAGTGTGAGCCAGTCCCTGCGGGGTGCACTATCCTGTCATCTTTATTAAGTTGGTTTTTGACTATGGAGAATATCCAGTGCTGGGGCCAGGCCAGGCTATTGGAGAAGCCCTCCCTTCTCATTGAACTTTTAAGTTCCAGGGCACCTCTTCTGCAGCAGCCCCCTGCAACTTGAAGACAGGGATTTACTGCTGTGACATGGGACTGCTGTGCTTTGCAGAGGACACAGCCAAGGCACCACTCTCTGGGACTGTCACCATGGGGACCCCCACCAAGGCAGCCGGGTCCCCACAGATCACCAGCGCTCAGCCAGCTCTTCTGAGATGGCTTTCCTGTCTCTCCACTATCCCTAGAAGGTAGGGTGAGGTTGGTGGAGGTGTGCACTTTCCCACCCACTGTCACTACCCAGGCAATTGGTGACTTTAGCGTCTTCGTTGTTGCCTTTTTGAGTCACCATGCAGGGATGACAGACCTGGCTACCCTTTGCCATCAGTGTCCCTTGTCCCATGGTTCCCTTTGTTTTTTCAGATCAGTCAGTTATCCAGACTGAATCTGATCATCTGAACTTGTCTCTAACGGGACACACACAGCACTTGTGAGACAAGGGAAGTGCCAGGAGCATGAAAATTTCCTGTTAAGATACTCAGGCCATTTCTCCTCTCTTCTCTGTGGGGCTTTACCTTTTGCCTGTGCTGCCAGCTATCTAATTGTACCAACACCATGGGCTTCACCTGTAACTGCTTTTAATCGTTAATCGAAGTCCTGTAATATTGAAAGCTGAAGATTGAGTAGTCTAGACTATTTCCAAACCCCAACTTACTTATAGCACCAGGGACTGTGTGTGGGAATGTGGAAATGATGGCACGTGTACAGAACCATAGTACAGAACCATAGCAAGTCATGACTTGTGGAAGACACCATCTTTTAATTCCACTCATTGAGTGAAGAGAGAAAATATTTATATTTTACTCTTATTTCTGCAGCTAGAACAGTAGTTCTCAGATTTCTGCTGACCTCAGAGTCTCTTGGGAGCTTCCTGCCCAGCCTAGTCTGTGACTCAGTGGGTCTGGGGTGCTTGTCTCACAAGAGTCCAGTGATGCGGGTGCTGTTGGCCTAGAGTGCACTGTGAGGACCAGCTAATGAAGTCGTTCCTTGGCTTGTCCACACCTTGCTTCCTACTTCCAAGAGGCTCATTCCTACCCTCTTTGGGGCTGTATTCCTGTGACCCTATAAGACTGTTCTGAGATCTGAAGTCTCTGCCTCTCTTCCCCAGCTCCCTGGGCCCTCTACCTGAAGATTCCTGCACCCCCAGCTTCCCCAAGTCCATGTCTGTTCCAGAGATGCCCTGTCCCCTCACACAGTGTCCTCCAGGGACCATCCCAGCGAGAGGACTGGACAATGCCATGACCTCTGCCATCTGTTGCTTGCTTGAAAGGGATGCTCAGGCACCTCCAACTCTGGGATTTCGAGTCCACATGGTTTCTGGAATGGCTGTTTGTCTGCTGATGGAATTTGGTGATGGTTCTGGAGTTGAAATGAGCCTCTATAACATGTCCACAACAACAGAGGTGACTGCCTATCACCAGTACAGGAAAGGTATGTTACCAGTGTCCTCCGGAGTCCAGGGATATAGGAGCAGTATTGGCACATTAGCCAGAAAGGAAGCCCCACTCCATTCTTCTGGACCCCTCCCAGCAGGTCTGATGTTAGCCTGTGCGTGAGTCAGTCTGTGCCCTGCGTGCAAGCCTTTGCAAACATCATCTCATTTAGTTTTTCCATCAGCCCTCTGGGATAGGTGGGTGGGTTGAAGACTAGCCCTGGGGATTGCACAGCTAAAATAGTAGGGCTTCCTACATAAGGCAAAATTCTAGAAAAGTACTACTAATGAAAATCACTTAAATTGTCCTTCATGGACAGATATATAATATCACAATTTTTTAATAATTTTTATTGTTGGTTGTTCAAAACATTACATAGTTTTTGATATATCATATTTCACATTTTGATTCAAGTGGGTTATGAACTCCCATTTTTACCCCGTATACAGATTGCAGAATCACATCAGTTACACATCCACTGATTTACATATTGCCTTACCTAGTGTCTGTTGTACTCTGCTGCCTTTCCTATCCTCTACTATCCCCCCTCCCCTCCCCTCCCCTCTTCTCTCTCTACCCCATCTACTGTAATTCATTTCTCCCCCTTGTTTTTTTTTCCCTTTCCCCTCACTTCCTCTTGTATGTAATTTTGTATAACCCTGAGGGTCTCCTTCCATTTCCATGCAATTTCCCTTCTCTCTCCCTTTCCCTCCCACCTCTGATCCCTGTTTAATGTTAATCTTCTTCTCATGCTCTTCCTCCCAGAGGCATTTTACCACTGAACTACATTCCCAGCCCTTTTTAAACTGATACAATAAATAGCTGAGGCTGGCCCCAAACTTACAATCCTCCTGCCTTAGCCTCCTGAGTTGATGGAATTACAGATGTGCACTACAATGCCTGGGTTTTCTCCCTTTTTTAAATCTTTTTTTTTTTTTTTGGTGCATTGTAGAGGGATACTCTTCCTTTTATTGTGCATCCTAATTCCTTGAATAAATCCAGGTGGCCTAAGAATCTTGCTTTTTTGTGTCATGTATGGGCAGGCTCCTGCTACATGGATCAATTCCCATCTTACTACACAGCCTACCATAATTCTGGACATCCTTGTAGTCACTGTCATAATGTTTCTCTTGGAAGCCAGCTTTGTTGTGTGAGCCCTTCTGGTAATGCTAAATTTTCATAGCTGAGATGAGTGCATTTGTCTTTACTGACATAACAGGTGTTCAGCCTTAGATCTGTCATATTTTACATTATGGGCTCTGTGAATTTTAAAATATGCTTCATTAAATGACTTCCCTTGCCCCTTTTGTATGTTTGTCCAAGTTAGTTTTCTGTTATATGGAAGGCTTGTGTCCTTGTCTTAGTTGATCTCTTTTATTTATAAAGAGGTTTTTATAAAGTGTCCTTTTTAAAAGAAATATTTATTCTTAAGTTTTAGGTGGACACAATATCTTTATTTTACATCTATGTGGTGCTGAGGATCAAACCCAGTACCTCGTGCATGCTAGGCGAGCACTCTACCTCTGAGCCACAACCCCAGTACCTATAAAGTGCCCTTTTTGCTCTACTTCTTTTGAGCACCCATTCATTATCCACTATGAGCAATAACAAAATTTAGTATAATCTGCTTTCTCTCTCCACGTTACCAATTTTCATCATTTAAATGATCTTCATGAGTATTTTTATTTCTGCTCTTATATATGCTTACACACTTCTTAATTGTTTGGTTAAGTTTTCATGCTTTTATTTTATTTTATTTTTTTTATATCTTTATTTAATTTATTTATTTATATGTGGTGCTGAGGATCGAACCCAGGGCCTCACTCATGCTAGGCAAGTGCTCTACAACCCCAGCCCCTCATGCTTTTAAATTTCTAGCAATTACTTACAAGCAAGCTGTGTTATTTTACAACTCCACCTCATCTTCTCTTTCCTCCCAACTGTGTCTTGCTGTATCATTTCCCACTGTCAAGGTATACATTTATATGCTTTTCTGTCACCTGTTCTTCCACCTGTATTTTAATCCTAGATCTAGAGTTAGATACATTTTCTCACTCTTAGTCCTGCCATGCTGTTCTCACTTGACTCACTGAAGTTTGTCCCAGTAGACCCTTTAATGTTTCAGGAAAAATTTCTTCAATTATATCTCTATTTTTCTGTTCCAATATTTAAGCTTTCTTTTTGGAAGATTCTGGTCATACATATGTTGGGTCTATTTTGTCTTTTTCTAAATTTTTTTTGTTCTTTATTTTTAATTCATCTCTCCTGCCTTTATCATTATTTCCTTTATGTTTCTTCTTTTGCATTTGCAGTTTCTATTCTCTGTTATGCTCTTTGAAATGCTGCCATCATTTTTTGCATTTCTTCTCTGTCTTACATCATAGAAGCTAATGATTTCCCAAGTTGTTATATCTTTTTATCTTCTTGTAAACAATGACTTTCTGGCAAATGATCTTACTCTGTTATGAGAATCTCTTGAATTTGTCTTCTTAATTCTTGTAGTATCTTCTGAATGGTCTTTCCTTCTTCCTTCCTTCCTTTTGTCCCTTTCCTTTTTCTCTTCATCAGTATTACTCATAATTAAAAGAGTTGCTGTTTTCTAAAATGGCTGTCTGAAAGTGCTATGCATGTGTGCCATATGTGTTCATGACATTCATAGTCACTGAGTCCTTTTGCCTCTGGGTTCTCACTTCAGGATACTTTCCCTGTGCTTCCCCCAGCATGATTCTTGCTCATTCATGCTTAATTTTTGCTTAATTTTTAACAACTTTTACATCTATTTTATATCCCAAACATATTAGCTAACTTCTGTTTCTCCAAGAAAAAAAAAGTTTTCATTTTTCATTTTCCTTATCACCTTTGGATAATGCCTAGAAGAGCTGATTGGAAGCTGACTGTAGTTATGTTCAGATCAGCAATTGCTCTATTAATGTTAAATATCTACAACTTTAATACATATGCATTGATTTTTTGTTGTTGTTGTTGTTGCTTTAAAACAAAAATGAGAAGTTGATTTTTTCATCTCCTACTAGAGGTCAAGTCTAAAGCAAACTTTTAGGTAAAGGATACCTAAGATCTGACTATATAATATTCTAGCACCAAATTTTCAAGCCTGTGGAGGGGTCTCCTAACTACTAGGCAAATTGCCTTTCTGACCTGGTAGACATGAAATTCTTCTTTTAAAATGAAGTAGGAACAATATATTGGTTCACACATAGCACAGCTCTTAATTAAATGTGATGATTAGCACAAATGTACTTTATTTTTTAAAATTTTTTTATTAGTTGCTCAAAACATTACAATGATCTTGACATATCATACACAAATGTACTTTAAATGTAAAGATCAGCACAAATGTCCCTTTCGCTTTCTATTTATTAAAATCCACATGCAGATTTTCTTTTTGACACAGATGTGAGAGGAAGTGTTATAAGATATTTGGGGTAAAGCTATCAATGATGTTTCAGCATTTAAGATATAGCTTCCAATTGAGATTACAATTTGGGAAAGTGTACCTATTCTTGCACATGTAATGTGACCAGATGCCTTCCCTCTGGCCTTCACTCAGTATCCCCCAGGCCCTGTTACTCCATAACCACATTCATTACTCTTCCCCATAGATGTTTAATTCCTTAAAGTACTTCCCTCCTTTCTACATATTATTCTGTTATTTGCAACCTTCTGGGAAAGTGAAGAGAGGAAAGACCATCTCAATTCCTAAGAAATAATTGCATACTCTGTGCCTAGAAAAAATGATTTAACATTTGGGCTTCAGTTTCCCATCCTGAAAAACTTGACTGGTTATTTCATAAGCATTTATTGTGTATCTATTGATTGATTACTTTCCTGACTAGAATAGTTAAGCCTGAAAGTGAAGCATAACCCAAGTTCTGCAGACAAATGACAGATGTAGCCACCATTCTGCCTGGGTCATTAAAAGAGGGTCATGGTAGGGGTAAGTTGGCCAGATGAAGGCATAAAGAAGGAATCTGTGGCCAAGAGAAGGTCATGCACAAGGCTGAATTTCAACAGATATCAGCAGAGCACTAAACCACACACAGAGCCAAGTTGAGTGTGGGGCTCTGTGAACTGTGTGAGTGCATGCTTGAAATGGATCTGCTGCTGCAAGATTTCCCAGACTAGTCCCCCCATTGTGACCAGTCTGCAGATGTTAACTGTTATGCTTATCTTTAAAAGTTCACAAGTTCTTCCTCTCTCTTCTTTTTCCAGAAGGGGTCTATATGCTCAGGGCTGTTATTTACGAGTTTCATGGAACCAAAGTGGAGCTTGGACCTTATTATGTGGAAACAGGCTGTGAGGCTGTGTCTGTGTTCATGAATTCCAGCAGTGTCCACCAGGATGAAGTCCTTGTCTTTGCTGGCTCCCCCGCGAAGCAGAAAAGTAAGACCCATGTCTGGAGGCTGAGCAACCAGACCTCAGCTCTAAATACAGGATGACTCTTTGAGTTATTTACACCATCCAAGTGTTAACAATACGACATTTGACATTACTTTCATGTTGTAATCTTCCCTCATTCAGAACATAGTTATTCAGAACATTGTATGCTGGGAGAATATGACAATGAAATCACACAAGGTGTTGGACTCAAGGAATTTGTAATCTAGAAAAGATATTAAGATAAATACATGAAAATAAGGAAATGGAACAGAAAAGTTTCTTAAGAATGGCTATGAACGTTCAGAAGAGGGGGATTATGTGTAACTGTGGGAACAGAGACTGCCTGAGGTATTGTTACATATGATGAGCCATGAAGGACAGGTGTGTGGGGACATTCCAGGAAGATGGCGCAGCCATAGCCACTGCCCAGACTGAGGATCAATGCTGAGTGCTCACAGTATATCAGGAGCTTTCTAATTTCCTTCCTGTCTACTTACATTCTCCTCACACCCAGCTGTAATGTAGATGATCTGTCCCTTTATGTCAGTGTTATACAGGAGGAACCTCAAGGTCAGAGGAGGAATCCCAAGCTGGTAGGAAGACTCCAGCCATGTGTTATAGAAGGAAGAGTCCAGAGTGTGTGGTCCAAGTAGATGGAATTATGGAATTATAGCATTTCCCAGAAATAATAAAAGGAGAACCCAGAGGGGCATGCATCCCAGTGAACTTATTCATGACAAATTCTTATAATTTGTCCTGCACTTTTTCCATACAGGTAGCCTAGTGAGAAACTCTCCATCCAAGAGTTATAGAATATATAGAGAAGAATTGGTTTTAACCTATTAGCACACTCTAACCAGCCATGGTCATTCATTTGACTTGTCTCACCTAAACTCTGAATAAGTAAATAGCCTGTCAGAATCTAGAATTGGGAGATCTGAGTTTTAATCCAGCCCAACTGATCAATATCTGGATAATCTTTGCTAAATCCATTAATTGTACTTTCCTTACTTTTGGACTGACAGATTGTGGTCAGAATTAATTTTTAGTTGTTAATTAGAATATCACTGTTATTTGTGGGTTTTTAAAAAAATTCTAGTGCATTGATAAAGAACAAAAATAGAAGTTTTCTCTTTATAAACTGAAAAGCCATGCAAAGAAACAGCAACATAATATATAATATAATACAATATCCCTTTATTATAATGAGTTGTTTCAAATTATAGCCCTCTTCTGAATCTGATTCAGTGTTTGGTATCTGCCTCTTAATAATACACTATGTGTGTGTGTGATGCATGTGTGTGTGCATGTGCAAAATATGCATTGCATTTTAGAGGACTAGAGTGCATGAGACTTGTCTTTGGATCTCCATTTATCCTTGTGAGGTGAAGGCTTCTCAGAGAATACACTGGAGAAACACTTTTAACAAGATCATCTAGCAAAGCAATGAATATATTTTAAAAGAATTAACTTACTCACTACCATGAAGGGAGTTCTCTGGAGAGAGAGAGATAACATTTAAGGAAAATTTTAATGAAAGAAATACTGTGACATGGTTTATATTTTCCAGGCCTGTTTGATTCCAGAGCACATGCTTCAAATTTTGAAATGTATTGGAACTCAAAGAGGGAAAACTGAAAATGGATAATATTGATGTGTGTTGCATGAGAAAACTGAACTAATTTTAAGCCTGTTTTTCTTTCACTATGCTTTTTCTTGTTTCAGGAACTGTTGTGATACATCATATCCCATCCACCTCTTCATATAATGTGTCCTTTGTTTCTCAAACCCTAGTGGGTGACTGTCAGACTTGGACCAGAATGACTGTTTGGTACAAGATGCAACGTATGTTTTTACTTTAATTCCAGATTTAACAAAATCTCCCTCATGTGTCAGTTGGGGTTTTTGGAGCCACTGGCAGCACAGGCTCTGGTATCAGCTCTACCTGAGGCCCATCACCTTTGCCCTTAAGCAGGTTCTTGGTTCCCCTGCAGTTTGTTCTAGGAATTTTCTAGAAACCATAGGCACAAGGGTCCCATTGAAAGGTGTAAAAAGGTGGGCTATCATCACTCACAGATGTCATCCCATACCCTTCCAAACATAATTCTCAAAGGAGGCAGCCATCTTGCCTGGTGAGCTATTACCAGGCTTTTGAACTCAGGCTACACCTCCTGCCAGGCTCCTGCAGCTGTACCCTTGGCGTAGCCCTGCACTCACATTAGCTCACTGCCCTGACACAGTCCTTGACTAAGTGGGAAAGTAGAGATGATGACTCTCTGGATGACTCTCAGTCCTCCATGTTGATGTCCCTGCACCTTTCTCTCTTTGCCATAGCTGTCTCTATTTACACAAACGGAACAGTGTTTGCTACAGATGCAGACATCACCTTCATGGCTGTTACTAAGGAAACCATACCCCTAGAGTTTGCATGGTATTTTGGAGATGATCCACCAGTGAGGACAACTTCAAGAAGCATTCGGAGAAGGCTCCACATCCCCCAGTGGTTCGTAAACATGGTGGTCATGATGGGTGTGGCTGATGGTGATGCAGCTGGTACTCAGGTGGAACATTATCCTGGTGCTACCAAAATAATTTTAAGGGTGTCATGTTTGTATTTTAACAAGCCAATGAGTGCTTTTGTAAATTGAGCTCAAGCATAAGATTTAAGAGGAGAGAAACTCGCTTTCCTTCAGTGTGCACTTTGTAAGAGTGCTGGGCTTTGAAATCAAGCAATCCCAGGTTCAAGTTCTATCTCAGCCACCAATGTGACCTAGGACTGTGCTCACCCCCCTGCTTGAAGAAGCTAACTAATAAGAAGGGGAGGCCAAAAATATTACTCCCCTTTTCCGATAAGGCAGATATCACTGAGTACTCTGATAACTATACAAATTAAGTCCCCGATCCCTCTGCCTTTCTTTTATTATTATTTTTTTTTTATTTTTTGGTATCAGGGATTTAACTCAGGGATGCTTTACTATTGAGCTACATCCCAGCCCTTTCTATTTTTTAAAATTTTGAGACAGGGTCTCACTAAATTGCTGAGGCTAACCTCGAACTTGCAATCCTCCTGCCTTGGCCTTCCAAGTCACTAGGATTATAGACATGTGCCACCTCACCCAGCTCCCCCTGCCTTTCTGTTGAAATGACATAATTTCTCTCCTGCCCTACTCTCCCATCCCATAGGTATCATGTGAAGGTCAAGGCCTCCAGCAGGATCAGCAGTGTAGTCTCCAAGCCCCACGTCATCAGGGTGCAGAAGAAAATTGTAGCCAACCGACTCATGTCTACCACCTCAGCCCTAGTAAACACCAGCGTGGCCTTTGAGTGCAGAATCAACTTTGGCACGGATGTTGCCTTCCTGTGGAATTTTGGGGATGGCACTGTCAGCACGGGGAGTGGCTCCAATAGCCACATCTATAGCAGGTAAATCATGTGGGGGCAGGTGGCAGCTTGCTGCAGATAGCAACTGGACTCAGGGTTTCAGGGATCAGCTCTCAGGTTCCTCCCAGCTCTCCTGTCTTTCAGGTGATGTACAGACAAATGGGATCTGGCTATGACTCTGCATAAGCTTGAAATCCAGGAAAAAGATGGAGAGAAAGAGAGCTGTCTTCTGTGTGGGGTGGGGGTGGGGGTGGGGGTGGAGTTCCTGTTCCAAAAGGTGTGGTGGTGACAACTCATTTTGCTTCAGAAACTAGGGAACCACACACATGAGCATTTGCACATGAGCCCAAGGGGGAATCCTGAGCAGGAGCTTGCCAGAGGGAAAGGGAGGGGGAGTGTTTTCCAACAGACAGCAGTGCAGGTGAGACCCAAGGAGAGGGCACCAGAGGGAGAGGTCTGGGGTAGCTGGTGAGATGTGAATGTAAGAGCAAATGGGGAGGTGGCAGATAAAAGTTTAAGGTGCCTGGGACAGATTGTAGAAGGCCTTCAGTATCGCTCAGAGGAGCATGCATTCTGTCCTTTAGTCTTTACTGAACACCTACTGTTTATCTGCAACAAAGCATTATGGAGATAGTCATGTGTCACTTAATGATGAGGATACACTCTGAGAAACAGGTTTCTATCTGATTTTGTCATTGTGCAAACCTTACAGACCATGTTTGCACAAACCTAGATATATAAGTCAGGCATTTGCTGTCAAGAAACGAAATAAATGAGATGTACAGGACCAGTGCCGGGGAACACAGCTTAGTGTTTCACAGCATACTTTTCTAAGTAGAAGGAGTGCACTCTGAAATAATGATGAAAGTATTATATACTGATTACATAAACCAGTAACATAGTCATTTTCTATCTTTATTAAGTGTTCTAGGCCGGGTAATTCCTTGTGCTATACTTTTATATAAAAGCAGCACAGTAGTTGTTTTCACCAGCATCACCACAGACATGTGAGTGATATGCTGCACTACTGTATTGTGACAGCTATGACATCACGAGGAGATAGGAATTCCTTCTGTCCATTATAATAATCTTGTGGGACCACCCCTGTGTATGCGGTCGTTATACAGTGCATGACCAGATGAAAAAGTGGCACCAATGCTTCTATCCAAAATAAACGTAGCATTTCTTAGAGAAGATGGACAAGGCCATGGGAACCACAAGTACAAACCACAGGATTGCGCATCTCAAGATTAGGAGTGTGATCAAGTGGTTCCCAGCCAAGTCTCTGGCTAGTCTGAGTTCTGAGTTGAGACCTCCCAGTGAGCATCCAGCCATGAAATAAGTATGGCCAAGGTTGAGCATGGAGGCTTCATGCTGGTGCAGGGGCATATCGGAGTATGCACAAGCATCCAGAAATCAAGCCTTGTGTGGGCAGTAGCACCAGAGAAATGTTGCAAAATTCCTCTAATGCAAGGTTACTCCGAGAACACAAGCCACCTCTGCTGCTTTGATGGGGCCTCCTAAATAGTCTATTGCTTCACCACTGGAAATAGATTCTCATGTGTGGAAGGAAGGAATTGAGATACCTGCATACTGAGGCAGGCATCTAGGGCCTACACCCCTGGCAGTGTGCTCTTCTGCTCCAGGACATGCCCTCTGGAAGGTGGTGTTTGGTGCCATCTCTAGTGTTTTCCCCGGGCTTATCAACAATCTGAGACCAACCCGCAGCCTTATCGCCTCAGTAGGACTTGCCTTTCTTTCAAATCTCCGGGGTAGCAAGTGACATTCTGGTCCCTGGAAACTCAAATTTGTGGTATTATGATGGGACTATTTTTCTGTTTCCAATTCAAAAGTTTTGAATGATAATCCCTTATGCATCATTTACCAAATCAACATACTTTTCCTTAATGAAATGCAACCTGCTGGGTCCAGTGTTGCCTGTTCACATACTCCTCCTGTGCCGCATCCTTCATAGCTGAGACCCTCCAGCCTCTCCTGGAACTGGATTCAGGTCCATGTTGAGGACCTATTCTGTTTTCAGGACTTTAGGAGTTTTTTCAGGAAACCTTACCCCTGAAATAGACTAAAACAGAAAGACCCTGCTGATTAGGTCCATTGCACTTGTCATATAAGGAATAACCGTGTGTGTCTCTCTGGTCAACAGAAAAGGCTGCTTGGAGTAGCAGGTCCTCACCTGGCTGTGCTGTTTTGTTTGGAATGTGTGACAGCAGTTTGGGGTTGGGCACTAGGCTTGACCACTAGGTGGACAGCTGATCCATCACATTAGATAATGAATAACCTCTGTGAATATCAACCTGTATCTCTTCTGTCCCTACTCCTTGGGATGACTTGCCATCAAATACTATAACTATGAAGATCTAGGATGTTTGTGAACAGTGGATAAGCCTGATGTATGGCAACTTTGATCTTATTTATTTACTTTCTGCCCTTCCAGGGAGGGAGAATTTATAGTGGAGGTCCTTGTCTTCAACAATGTCAGCTCTGCCACCCTAAGAAAGCAGCTTTTCATTGTGCGTGAACCCTGCCAGCCACCCCCAGTGAAGAACACGGGACCTGGGCGGGTCCAGGTAGGACCAGGGTCTGAGGAGTCCTTCCCAGCTGTGCTGCCACACTGCCAGCACCGCTCCACACTGTTGGAGCGGTGTCAGGATCAGCCAGCCCTTTGCAGAATGAAGGAGGCTTTGTGGAGTCTAGACTGCTACATTTTACACAAAAGAACCACTGTCAGGACTTTGGAGAGGTGGGCCAGTCCTGTGGGGGACAAAGCCCACCCCAAGCCTAACGGGAAGGGAAAGCCTGATTTCTGGTATGTGAATAAGTCCTTTATTTGCCTATATGACACTGGCATTCAGCACAGCTTGCTTTGAGGAGATTTTTTTTTCTTTTTCTTTCTTTTTTTGATTATGCAGAGAACTGTAGCATTTTCAGGAGAAAGGAAAATTTAACACCAAAATGAAAAGAAATGATCAATTGTTGAGCACCACCTACAGGTTAGGAAAAATAGTGGGGTTTTTTCCTTTCTTTTTCTTTTTTTTTTTTTTTTTTTAATTTCTTGCATTCCTTTGAGGTCTTTGATTTAAAGCAAATTTTACATCTTGGGGCAAAGGTGCTCAGATTATACGTGGGAATTAAAATCCATGACTGAGCATTTGCCAAAACGTTTTCTGTGACAAGCAGAAAGGCCTGTTGCAGCATAGGCCCCAGCACTCCCAGAGGGTGCAGTGGAGTTAGCAGCACTTGCCATTGGCTGGGGCAGGCCTGCGTCTGCTCAGGAAATCCAAAGCTTTCCAGGCTAGACCCCTGCCCACCCTCCAGGCCAGCACACACCAACACTGTCAGGCAGCTTTATGTACTGGGTGCTCATATTATCTGGGGTGGGAGACAGACCAAAAGTCCAGGGGACTTGAGTAAATTAATATAATTCATAGTAGAAGCAACAAAAAATAACTGAGAAGTAATTTAAATAATAACTAAATAACTAAATAACACCTGGGTAGAGCACAAGTCCCAGGCCAGAGGATCTGGAGTGAACCCTGGTTCTGGTCTGAAGCCAAGCCATGGGACACACTGCTTTCTTTTTTTTTAATTTGTGACCTACACATAAAAAAATTGTACATATTAATTATTCTGGTTTTTCAAATCTTTTAAAACATTTTCTTATCTGTAAAACAAAGAAAACAATACTAATAACTCCGTTTTCTTTATAGTTTATTTTGTACACTTAAAGTATAAAGAAAAAAATGAAATCACCTTAATTCCATCCTGCAGAACATAGCTACCATTCATCATCATCTGATGTATTTATATTTATATTCAGTATTTTTCTAAGCCTTTTTATATATGGAGAGTGTCCAGGTTCACATGGGCTATAGCAAATTTATGTGGAGCTTTTTATATGTGTTTGTGAGTGTGTGTGATTATGATAAAATTGGGTTCACTGGTGGGTTATCATGTGATTACTTTCTCTTATTAAGGAATCTTGAGCTGGGCATGATGGCATACACCTGTAATCCCAGCAATTTGGGAGGCTGAGGCAAGAGGATCTCTGTTGAGAGCCACAGTTTAGTCGAATGACACCTGGCATTTTGCTAGAGGGAATAGTTGAAAGGTGACCCTGGTGACCCTAGGGCAGCTCAGGGATTAGGGCGGATCCTGCTGCCTCAGGCGCCCGCTACTTTGGAGCCCTGTGGAGGGGGTGTATTCCTGGGAAGTGTGTGTAGAGTGCTGGAGAGAGTTGGGGAATAAAGAGTTGGCTGTTTGGACCTACAAGGCTTTGCAGCAGCTCGGTTATTTTGTGCCCAGCCAGACTACGGCAGATCTCAAGTTCAAAGCCAGCCTCAGCAAAAGCAAGGCACTAAGCAATTCAATGAGACCTTGTTTCTAAATTCAATACAATATAGGGCTGGGGATGGCTCATGGTCAAGTGCCCCTGAGTTAAATCCCCAGTACAGGGCTAAGGCTGTAGCTCAGTGGTAGAGTGCTCACCTCCCATGTGGAAGGCACTGGGTTCAATCCTCAGCACCACATAAAAATAGAATAAAGGTATTGTGTCCACCTACAACTAAAAAAAATTTTAAAAAATCCCTAGTACAATAAAAAAGCATCTTGATTACATGATTTTAAAGGCAGCATAATGTTAAGTCTTTCACACAAATTATATATCATTAACAGTGTCTTCATTATGAAATATTGGTTATTTCCATTTTCTATCAGTACACATGCCTTGGCAATGATGTTCTGTGCCAACCTCCTTCTGTCTGTCCATGGCATTTCCATAGCAATAATCCCTACATGTCTCAGAGCTGAAAGACAGAGCACCTTCAGAAGGACCATGCTGGAATCTTCCCATGCTCTCACATGTTGGTGTGTAAGGACTTGCTTGTAACTCCATGAGGATTATATGTTTTTAATGTTTGTTATTAATATGTTGAAAATTGGCATCTAAGTATTAAAATTTGCTATAGCCTATGTGAATCTGGACAGTTTTGTGGCAAGTTCTAGAATGACACCATAATTCATAGCAGAAGCAACAAAAAATAATTGAGAATTAATTTAAATAATAACTAAAGCCATTAGGTAATGCTAAAGGTAAAATCCCGTTTATAAGGATCACCAATATTTCTTAAATTCCCATTTCTCGACTCTCTATAAGTTTTTAACCTTTCCAATTTTCATGGAATATTCAGGTAAAAATTATCCTCTTGGGGGAGCCCTTGCACCCAGCATGGACTTCCCATGTCAAGGTCCCCTAGCCTGGATTGCTTCTCCACACTCTGGGAGTAAGGAATAAGGTTAGGCCCACAGTGTCCAGGAAGGGGCAGGCGGGTGGGTGGGGGTGGGGGGTTGCTTGGGAAGGACAGATCTGGCAAGATCCGGAAGGCAAGATCCGGACTATGGATGGATAGTCACTAAGATTCCTCTTGTATTATTGGTGTTTTTAGCTTATAAATGTTACCAAATATGTTTTTATATTTTTATTAACTACTGTTCACATTAAAATTTTTTATTTTAGAAATGTTTAAGCATGAATAAAAGTAGAAAGAATAGTGCAACAAACCCATCACTTTCAAAGACCAGTGAGATCATATCAAAGGCCACCAGAGCCAGTTCAAAGAGAGTCCCCCAGGTCCCAAATATGCTACTGCCAGCATCTAAAAGATGTCCACAATTGAATTAATAATATTAATTTAAAAAAAAAATCAATGATGTTAAAAGAGAGAGAGCAGCTTCTCTCTCCCCACGAAACAGGCAGACACACAGCTCACTACTCACCATTAGAAGTAGCCAGTGACCCAGTCTCTTATTCTGAATGTGATAAATAAGATAAAGAATTAGGCATTTATTCTTGCTTTCCCTAATAAACCATAGTTTAAGAAACCTTATAGTTCTAGCAGATGAAAAAAACTTTTTTTCTCCTCCCCCTGCTTTTTTTTTTAAACAAAAGAACGTCTGTGCATCCCCAAACAGTTGCAAAACAATGTGTTTTAGAAATAATAAGAAATATTTGATTATGGACTATGTTTTAAATTGTTTAAAAAATTCCTTCTTAATTGTTAAGGTGAGATACTAGCTTTGTGTCTGAGAAAACACTCAGGTTTTAGAGATATATATTGAGTACTTAAAGGTTTAAATGTCATGATTTCTCATAATGACTTTAGAATATTTCAGCAAATTAAAAAAATAGAGAAAACAAATACCTCTCAAAAATGTTGCAAACAATTTTCTTTTTTGTTCTATTGTTTTTCTGAATTTTATATTTTTGACATTCAGAAGTTCAGAATTTTTATGTAATGAAATCTAGTTACTTCTCCTTTTATATTTTCCCCTTAATTTCATGCTTCAAAAGTTCTCTTTTTTTTCCCAGTAGGAATATGTAAGGAAAAAATACTTATTCTTCTTATTTTTCTATTTGTACTTTTTACTTTTCTCTATGAAATAGAGGCAGTATTTGCTCTGGTGCTGTCTCAAGTCCAGCCCTAGATTCCACCCTGTGATTCATAAACAAAATAATTGGGGATTTGAGAGAATGAGTTTCTAGAATTTACTGTGTCATTAGATATGATGGATGTCTTCTCTTGTCAATACTTAGATATGGAGGTCTCAGCCCCTGAGACTGGGAGTCACATTTGAAGCTGCTGTCCTCTGTGACATTTCTCAAGGTCTTTCTTACACCTGGAGCTTTATGGACTCTGATGGGTCCCTGGTCCTCCTCCCTGCTGCCATCAATGTCCACAGACAAACTATCGTTCTCCCAAGCTACACGCTGGCATGCGGGAACTATACTGCCATCGCCAAGGTGAGCTCACTGCCTGGTGCCATTGCCAGTTCATTGAAACCAATGCTTTCCACTCTGTGTTGGAGTAAGAGCTCAGCATTTGTAATCCTAAATCTGTTCTACCAACAAATGGGGGTTGTTAAGAGCGTGGGTAGGATTTTGGAAGAAATGTTCAAGTCTCCCCAAAGAATGTATGTTCAAATGCTAACATAATCAATGAAAAACTCCTTCTAGTTTATTTAACTAAACCTTCCTGTGCACCAGAAGAATATTTGACTTGGCCATGTAGGAGTTAGTCACCCAGAAAAGGCGGGAGGACCACCACCAGAGGGCAGGGCCATGAGAACGATATCCACAGTGACCACCTGGAACTTTGGCCCTCACCCAGTGCTCAGTGTATTTTTGGCTAGGAAAATGGTGAAAATGTGTGGATTAGAAGAAGGAGTCATTGCCATTACAAGAGTGGGCTCCATGAAAGAAGGGTCCTGAAAACAGTTGGTGCACAGGCGTAGAAAGTGGGGTGTGGGGAGCAGCTTGGCCAGGCATAGTGCGCAATAGCTGTCAGACTGTAGTTAGATGGGAAGGCCAGACTTGAGGAGATGCTCCTTGATACCAGACTGGGAACCCAAAAATCTCTGCAGTAGAGGAATGGTGTTCTTTCACTCTGTGGGGTGCATAGTCCTGTTGAGCCTTGGTCCCAGCGCAGGCCACAGACAGCTCACCACAGGGTCCCTGGACACACACACTAGCCTCAAGAGCAATCAAGGAAGGGATCCCACTGGATCTGTGCTGGGTGTCATGAATGGAGCCCTCACATGCTTCCTCTTGATCCTGTACTTATCTCAGTGAGAACTAGACACACCATGATTGGCCGAGTGACAGAGGGCCACAGACCACACCGTGAGGAACTCTGTTAGCTACAGGTCATAAGAAAAAACAATGTTTCTGAGCAGGATGCATGTTCTTCTCTAGAAGTATTAACGAGAGAGAATCGGAAACTGATTGAAGGATGGGTTTCTGGGTGAGTGTTCTAAAAGCCAAGTCAAGAAATACTTAGGGGCTGAAATAGGTGCTGGGAAGGGATGCAAAGAGAAATAAGGTCTTTGCCTACTTGGGCACATGATGTATTGGGGGAGATAGACGGACCCCAACAAGCTACAGAAGATATGATTCATGTCTAAACAGTGATGGGAAACTCTGAGGGAGGAGCAGCCCTGAACCCTCAGCCACATCTTTGTTGACCAGGATCATCAATTGTCGGAAAATGCCCCCTAATGTGAGTCACATGCATGGGGAGGGGGATGATCATGCTGAAGCAGGTGGGGCTTGTAGGCAGAATGGTGGGAAGGTCTAAAAATGGGCTTCAGTGGGGGGTCTTCTGAAGATGACCAGAGACCTGGGGTGGATTGTGACTTCAATGTTAAGAGGTTGAGCTTGACATTTCTGGAGAGTATTCAGGCGCCATGTCTGTCAAGACAACAGAATGGAAAGTGGGTGGTAGCTAAGGTGGAGCTGGATACAGCCATCTAGCCAGAGGAGAGCGAGCAGAGGACAGGGAGCACAGCCCCCAATTGGCGGGAGTGCAGATGGAGAGAGCTATGCCAGAAAGCCACATCTTCAGAGCCTCTGAGTAAAGAGGCTCAAAAAGGAGGCAAGGTTTTTGGTATTTCTGTGCAATATAAAAAGCACCATGAGTATTCATGTTATTTCTTTTTCTTAAGCTTAATTTTCAAATACTGGAAATGTTTTAGTAGGTATATTCTAGAAAATGGTATGTGCTCCTGATTCAGGCTGCTTGGTTTATCTCAATTTGTAACCTGTACTGTTCATTGTCACAGACAAGAACAAGAAGATTTTCTGTGCCTGTGGCTAAACATGGGGTATCTTAGGCACTGGCCTTGGTGGAAGCAGATTCTTGGTGGAAGATTGAAGTCAACCTGAAGTAGTCCAGAGGCAGGGTCCTGTGAGGTCACTGAGGGAGCTGTCCTCTAGCAATCTTGGTGCCCTGGTGGAGGCATGAGTGGGTGGGAGGATGCTCCCTAGATGGGCTATGATCAGCCTCCAGAAGATACCTCATACTGCTGTTTATCTACTCTGCAGACCTTAAGTACCAGTGTCATCACCATTCTTTAGGTCTGTTTGTGACCAGGAAATCAGGAGGATTTTGGAAAAATCCTCCTTCCAACCAGGAAATCAGTTGGCAGTGTATCCAAGGGATTCTCTTTCCATCCACCAGCTTCATGAGAGTGGGGGTACAGCAAGGGAGATGGGGTAAAACTGCTAATAAGGCAGGAATTGAAGCCTGGCATGTCCAGCCCAGGGTTCTGACCAACTGGCTTATAAGAACCCTGCTGGCCATGTGAGGGGTCAGGGCTGGGTCCATGCTCTGACATCAACATCTATTGGTACATTTGTTCCTTAGCTATGTCTTTACCCTCCAGCAGCCTCCTGTCCTGCCTCTGCCTTCTAATTGATTGCTTTTCCATCTCTGCTCTCATCTGGATGTTATATTTGTGATCAGACCCTCAGGCTCTGAGCTTCTCCCACCTCTGCACCTTCCAGCACCTCCCACATTGAGCTCACAGGCTTGGAGCCTTCTCAGGGCTTCCTTGGTGCTGGAGGAACTGAGTAAATACAGGTTGGGGATGTAAATCATAGTTTTGATCATGTGGTCATTATGCTATCTCTGGTTATACTCAGGCGCCTGACCAGCAGGGTGCATTTGTAGGAGGAAAATCCAGAAGGGATGAGTCCAAGTCCAGGGAAAAGTACAGCAAGGGTTAGACTATATCTTTTCAAACACTGCTCACAGCTTACCATCAAAATTTTAAAAGAATGTTTTGAATGCCTTATTTATAAATTGTTTTATGTTTTCTAAATTTAGAAGTATTTGTCTGACACAGGCATGGTGGCACATGCCTGTAATTCCAGTGGCTAGGGAGGGTAAGGCAGGAGAATCACAAGTTCAAAGCCAGCCTCAACCACTTATTGAGGCCCTAAGCAACTTAGCAAGACCCTGTTTCAAAATAAAAAATAAAAAGTATTGGAGATGTAACTCGGTGGTAAAGCATTCTTGGGTTTAATCCCTAGTACTAAAACAAACAAAAAAAGCACTTGTCTGAAATTTCATTTACAGTTCTTAAAGTCCATTACACATTTGGATGAAAGTCAGAAAAATGTTAACAGAAGAGGTTTGAGAATTGTCACAAAATGGCATACATGGAATATTGCTATTTGAGGTTCTATGTTCACAAGCCCAGGCAACTTTGCAGATTAAACCTGACTTGATAGGAAAATGCTCATACTCTCGCCTTCAGCCATGTCTCCAATGGGTGCATAGTAGGTGGTTTACTTTGACAATAGTGACTGGTTTAGCTGAACCCAAGAATGCATATACACACACCCTTATTCCCTTTCTAGTGTCATGTGTAGAGATCCAGCCAGCACCTGCTTTGACCCTGTGTGATACGCCCCTGTTGTTGACCCCCTAGGTTCAGATCCAGGGCAGCGTGGTGCACAGCAACTACTGCGTGGGTGTGGAAGTGCAAAGCAGGGCACCCGTCAGTGTGATCTCGGAGGGCACACACCTCTTCATCCCCAGGGCTACCTCAACCCCCATCATCCTCCAAGGATCCCAGTCCTATGACCCAGACTACCCGGGGGCTGCTCTCAGGTGAGATGGGGAGCTTTGCTCCTCTCAGACTCTGACTCCTTCAAACATTTGAGAATTCTGTATAACATTTTTAAGAAATGAAAGTCCATCTGCTTTCATAAGCCAAACTGTTTTATTTAGATCAAAATATAAGATAATTTAGAAAAGAGGGGAGAGAAATGTGAATAGCTTTTAAAGGTGGTATTTAAAATATGATTTTGGAAGGTGATGTCTAACCATTACCCTTTCATTAAAATTTCTGGGTGGTGAGAGGCCTTGTGTGGGAGAGGAGAGTGCTACATGTCCCTGTGGGGGTCTCTTGCTATTGGAGGCCCCGACACAGGCCTTGTCCCCATAGCCATCTGCAGCCTGACTTGGGGACCTAATCAGTCTCCTACTTGAGTCTGTCCATGATCCCTGTACATGCATCCTCCCTGGACCCATCCCTGCCCAGTAGCCGCAGACATGCATCCTCAGTAGGGACCACTCCAGGCTATATGTCCCTGCCCCATTTCAGCACCCCCTTTTCTGTGCCTTGAGACCTCTCAGACACAGTTCCTACTTCCTCACATTCAGTCTCCCCATCTCCACTTGAGGAACAATTCTCCCTGCTAAGGGTTTTGGCTGAGTGACTCCTCTTTCTCTCTCTGACTTCTCTCTCACACACACCTCATGTTCCCTCTGTCAAGATCTTGTCAGCCTTACCTGAAACACCAGCTCTACATATCTTCTCTGCTTCATTGTGCTGAACCCCCAGGGCCTTAGCTCATCTTCGAGACAGCCTCTCCTTAGAGCTTCCATGCCTCCATCCTCCCCCTGCAGCCGATTCTCCAAGGCAGAGGATGGATTCTTCTTGAACAAGTCAGGTGCCCTCACTTCACTATTCTAATCTTCCAGAACTCTCTTTTTACTCCAAGTAGAAATCAACATCCTCAGCTGAGGCCGACATGTCCTTTTAGCTCCAGCTGCAACTGCCCCCGACTCCTCTGCAGTTCACTCCTAGCCAGCGTAATCTTCCCTGAGCTCCTGGCAATCAGGTTCCTTCTGTGGCTCTTCTCTCAGTGGTGAGTCTGCCACCACCTCCTTCCTTTGATTCAATGAATGCTCAAGCATCACTTTCCCAGTGAGGCCCATTTAAAATGATGAATCCTGGCTTTCTCTGTTATGGTTTCACTTATGTGGCTATCATCCTGCATTGAGTATGAGCTCCAGAGGGCAGGGCTCTCCCTTAATATATCCCCTGTGCCTGGCACACAGTGCCTACTCTACTACTACTTTATAAATAATTTGTTGTCTTAACCCCTGAGATAACCGCATGTGTTTGCTACACTACAGTTGTGGGATTCAGTGTTCTTTTAATCCAAAAGAGGAGAGAGAGATTACCATCTCCCACCCCACCCCATTCCCCCAACTTCCATATCCTCTTGAGTACCCCACCATTTGAAAATTCCATCTGTGGGGCTGGGGATGTGGCTCAAGCGGTAGCGTGCTCGCCTAGCATGCGTGCGGCCCGGGTTTGATCCTCAGCACCACATACAAACAAAGATGTTATGTCCGCCAAGAAAAACTAAGAAATAAATATTAAGAAATTCTCTCTCTCTCTCTCCCTCTCTCTCTTAAAAATTAAAAAAAAAAAAAAAGAAAATTCCATCTGTGTACATGCTCCAGGCAAAGAGACAAAGTGCTTATAGCTACCTCTACCCTGGGTCTAAGAGACCAACTGGGTCTTGTTTATCATTGTACCTCTCAGCACCCAGGTTCATGCCTGAAAACAAGAGATCAGTGCATGGCTGCTGAAAAGTGCTGAATTTGCTTCCAGGGAGTGCAGAATAGCCCAGCTGATCCCAGGTTCACTTGCTCTTCCCAGCATGTAAGTCAGAGGTTGCTGCCACCCTGTGGGGTGATTAAAGGGCTGTCATAATGCCACCTCATATGGTTTGGAAACAGGTCTAGAATGTGGTACCTTCACACCATCTAGGGAGAGCCACCTTTAAAGCACAATGATGGCTCAGACTTAAGTAGCACCTGAAGAAACAGCTCTACCGTCAGATTGGTCCTGGACCGTCCAGCCATGCATTTCTAAGCCAGCGATTCTTCTCTGCCAAACTGCTTGTTTAGCTGTCCCTCAGGAATGAGACTGCTCAGGGTTAGGGATGATGCTGGCTGTCTGCTTGCTTGATCTTGATAAAGCAAACACATTTGTCTTGTTGAATATGACAGTTTCATTGCAGGAAGGTGGTGAGATTGGAGCAGAGATATCTAGAGTCATCCATCTGCTTATCCCATCTTTCACCAGCTCTGAAATAGGGCAGTTCTCTGAGGCCTCTGGAAATGCATTTTTCTTCCTAAATTTGGGTCAATATGGCATTCCTGTATGTCATGTGAAATTGTCACAAGGATGAGATACAGTGTTGGCAGACTGTTTGAGGGGAGCATGCTGTGTAGTAGATGCATGTTGAGGCAGCAGAAGTGTGAGCAGAGGGAGTCACTGTGTGCAGGAAGGGTGGCAGCAGCTACCAGGCTGGTATGGAAAGTGAAGGTCCCCAGGGATGAAGTTGGGGTTACACATCAGTGAGTGGGAGGAGCTAGTCTGAGAATCCAATGATTGACACCTCACTGATGGAAAAGAACAAGGGGACGTCATCTCTTCCCCATGCCCATGTCCCCTCGACATCAGAGGTTCCATGACTGTCCGTTCAACAGGTATCATTGGACCTGCACTGCTACCAACTCACCTGGACAGCCCTGCTTTGACAATTCCACTCCACATCAACTGGACCCTGGGGCTCCCACGATTTCCTTCACAGCAAAATGGCTTAGCGAATGCTGTGACCAGTTTCTCGTGACACTGATGGTTTCCAGCACTGGCAGGAATTCTTCGAAGGCCGAGGTGTTCCTTTCCATCAGTCTTGCTTTTGCCTTCAGGTATGTGACTTGGAGCTGAGCTGAGCTGAGCTGAGTGGTCCTGGCTGGTGTTGGTAACCAGGAAAGTAATCCATGCATATGGAAGGCAGTTTGGGGTTTAGTCATGTTGGATCATGCTGCTAAAGAGGAGGAAGGCATTGTCAAGAAGGGGCTAGGGACTGATCTCTGGGAAGCTCCTGATAGGCTAAGCATGCCAGCACAGCAGGGATCTCTGGGTAGGGTCTCAGGGGGTTCCCTCTGTTTCAGAATATGCCTCTAAGACAGGAGACTGTCCCAGTTCTTGGGGCTGATGGCAGAGGAGGCAAAGCCATCTGAGTCCCAAGGTAGGCATTTGGGGAGCCCAGTTTAACCCTTCTATACATCTCAGGTTCATCCCAAGAATGAACCCAGTTGTTCCATCTGAGAGTATGAGAGGTTGCAGAAGAAAAGAAATGTTATGACCAAAACCCAAAAGCACTGCATCACCCATAGTCCATGTGTAGCTCCCAAACATCAGTACCAGGATCAAGTTGAGTGGCCAGGGTGGGCCTGGGCACAGCAGTTCACTGACCTCCCCCTCTGGAAATAAGAGTCATTAGACCTAAGTGAGAAGGAGGTGTTGCCCAGGGCCCACCACTTTGAGATGATACAAAATTTTACTACACCACTCAGAATGGCACAATTTAATCCTTATGAATTAATCCTGGAATTTTCCATTTGCTTCAGTAGCCATAGGTATCTGAAAAGGTAGAAAGTGAAACTGTGGATGGGGGGGGAACCACTGTGTACAAGTATACACAGGGATACACAGGCACACAAACACACACATGGACAAGCTGGACATGGTTCCCTGCAAGGAAGCTGTGCGGCCCTTTGTACCATGACACCTCTCATCTCCTGCATAGGGAGCTGTATGTTGAGGCTGTGGTCTGAGAAATGGGGCACAGTGCATGGGGTGTTTGCATGGGAAACACTGCAAACCACTTAGTCTTTATCATTCCTGGACCTTTAGAGGCTCGCCAAGTCCTACAGAAAAGAAAGCTGTTTGACAGGGCCTGACAGTCTCCAGCCTATGGTAACATCTGGAAGAACCCCTGTCCACAAAATGTGCTTTCCAAAGTGCTGGTCAGCAGAGAGACTAGAGAAATTGTCAGGAGGTGGCTGTGGTGGCACTGGGCTGTGTGGAGGGTAGAGTTACATATGGAATTGTGTGTGGTAAGGGGCGGTGGTGGGGTGGGGGTATCCCACCACCATTGGCCCTGCACAGAGAGGAGGTAAAGCCAAGGCAGATGGCAGCATCTTTCTTTGTGAGCTCCTGAGACTAGGTGAGAATCACAAAGGTGCATGGTTTGGTGGGTCTGCATGAGGGTGGTTTTGAAGACTGAGCTGAGGAGATGAGGAGATTACTTAGGCATCGGCTGTTCTTTATAGAGGGCTTGGCCAGAGCCCAAGATGAAGGCCATGGGTCTCAAAAAAGTCACATAGCCTCTCTGAACTGAGCCAGGTTATAGTGTGTTGCTGGTCTGTTAGATCAAATCATGTGTCCAGTATGGCGCAGCTGGTCACATGCCATATGCTCCATCATACGGACTTGAGTTTCCATGATGAAGAGACAGCTTGGGCAGTTTGGGCATTCCCAGCACGAACGCATGCAGCCAAGGGCCCATACATTTTCCTAAAATATCAAACTGATTTGTATATTTCAGATTCATCCACATCTCCTGGGTCAATTTTAAAGACATCTATGTCAATTGGAATGAAGAACTGTCTCTCCAAGCTGTGTGTGAGGACTGTGGAGAAATACAAAATCTCTCTTATTCCTGGGATCTTTTCTTAGTCAATGCAACAGAAAAGAACAGGATTGAAGGTGAAATGTTTGCTTTATTTTACTGACTGAGGAGAAAGCTCAGGGTTGTCTTGCGTTTGCCAAGAGTTTGGTCTGACCCAGTATGTCTGATTTGCCAGGTTGATGGCTTCTGCTTCCCTAGCACCTCTTGTTTTCACCCTCCAAAAGAAAGGAAGGAATCAACTGCTACTCAGGCACCCTGTGGAAGTGACAGAAGGCTATGCCCAGCATTCACTGAGACAGTTTTATTTTTTTAAAGCCACAGTGAGCTATTGAAAAGGACACATGATGTGACTCACCTTTCAGAGGACTGTGTCCCTATGATATTGTGAAGTATATATTCAGTCTGCATCCCTGGCATATAACTCATCCCTGGCATAATCCCCAAATCCTTGGAATCCTCAAAGTAATAGGGCCTTTTTGTATGCTAATGAGGTGACTGATGACTGGAAGCTCTCAGGTAGCTTCAGGATGAGAGTTGATCTTCAGAAAGACCAAGGTGGGATGGCCAAGGTTGGGAGTTTCAGCCCCAGTTGGTCACCAAGGGCCAATGATTTAATCAGTCATGCTTGTGTAATGAGGTTGTCATCGGAACCCCTGATTTATAGCTGATTAGTCAGAAGCACAGGTAAAACCATCGGGCTCGCAATTGGCACCCAAAATAGGCACAGTCTTGAGGCTTAACCTGTGAGGTCTGAGGTTACCTCCAGTTACATAGTGTGAGAATTGAACTGAATTGAGGAATACAAGTGGATGTCTTCTTCAGAACTGCTTGCTTTCTTGTTAGTGGGGAGAACTCACACCATTTAGGATCACTGAAGTGATCTGTGTTGTAAGAGTATAGTACGAGAAACTGAGTCTGATTTTTCTACACAGTCTTTCAGACTGTTCTACACAGTCTGCATGGTGAGGGCTGGTTCTGAGCCTCTTTCCTGCACTGCCAGCTGGTGATTATAACCTCCTCTCCAAGATTCACTGAAAGATGGGTACCCTTCTTGTCAGCCCAAAAGACAAGTTGAGGCATGCTGAGTGTGGGAACAAAGAGTTTATGCAAGGCAGAATGAGGATGGCCACCAAGGTAGAGCACACAACTTTAGTTGCCCAGAGTAAGGGCTCATAAAATGATATCCAAGAGACTGGGTTTTTATAGGTTAAAACAGAAGAAAGAAGTTGCAATTGATGAGAAAGACACAGCATGTGGATTAATGGTCAGTCACTGATGCCATACCTTCCAAGTAGGAATTGCAGTAAACAGGAAAGGGCTTTTACCCGGGTTATTGATTATCATTGTGTTGTTGGGAAATCTGCAGACATGAGATGTGTGCTGGGTCAGAATGACCTAGGAAACTATGGTCTAATGCCCTAGGATTAAAGAATTTTTTAACATCATTCTTGTCACATTTAAGTCCTTTCTCATACTATTCCACAGAGTGGTGATAAGACTAAGTAAAATAATGTGTAAGAACATGCTGGGTGTTGGGCTGGTTGGCTCGCAGTTTGGGTGGGACACTTAGGTATGAACCAGGATCAAGACTGAGTTCTCATGTGGTGATGACTGTGATCAGGGGGACAGTTCCCATGGCAAACAGAGCAGCTTTGTTTGTGAGCTGGCAGCCAGCTCTTTCAGCACAGCTCCTGCCAAACCCCTATTGGCCTTCTGCCATTTAAAAACAATCTGTTCAATGGGGCAATACAAAGCTTCTGAATGTAGAACTCTGAGTACAGCTGGCCTCAGTGGCTAAGGGGACATGAAGACATTGAGTGCAGTCATGCCCTGCATTGCAGGAGAGGAATTCCTTAATTCTTTGGGGTATGTTTAATTTTCTGGAATCAAAGCCAGAGGATGTCCAGAGGTTAAATTTCCAGGAAAGGAAACATTGCCCTAGATGGATGAGTCTCAAGATCCTGGCTCCCCCAAAGTCAAAAGCAACAGCATGATTGACAGTTCATTTATATGCCCATGGCTATTTTTTTTCTTTGCTCCTGATTCTTCATCATAAATTTGAACAATGATTTTTGGAATTGTTATATTCTGTCCTTACTGTCAGGTAGGGGAGTGAGGATTAGGAGAAATTCCATGTTCCCCAAATTGTTTCTATAATACATGAAAAACCAATACAGAGAGTGTGGAGAATCTGGCAGGCTCCTTTTCAGTCTCTATGGATCCTGGGGAAAGCAAATCCCCCCCTACATGTTTGCTGCAATTGGTCTCCAGACTATCTGATGAAAACCACGTTCCATGGGTTTATCTCTCAAGTGCGGGCTTTGAATTCACGTCAGACTTGTTGAAAGCAGAGCAGTCTTACAAAATTTACAGACTTTTAAAAAGCTAATTTTTCCCATTTGGTCCAGAATTTTAACACTGTCATATGTGTGTTTAAGTTCCCTTTTGTAGCACTGTGGGGCTGCTGGGTGCCTCAGCACTCGGAACGACTTTGAAGTCATCAGAGTCAAATCTTCTGACCACTGAGCCAAATATGACAGATCCCAGTGGATCACCCACGCTGTCTTCACGAGAGCCTTCACCCATGATCCATGGTCGGCTTGCCCTTTTAGTCACTAGAAGCACCTCTACAGAGTCCACTGTGGGTGGCCACCAGATTCCTGCTTCTGGTGACAACACAGCCCGGGAGGATCCTTCTGAGGATGAGCCACTGGGTCCAGAGCTGGGGTCCCTTGGTGAAGGAGCCTCAACTGTGAGCCCCTCTGAGAGAAGCTGGTCTCCACCCAGCTCCTCACCTGCCCTTGATGGCAAGTACCTCCATCTCTGCAGGTTGTCCCCCTTATTTAGGCACCAGGGTTATCTTGGGAAGGGTGCATCTGGTGGGTCAGGTTTGAAGTCACATGCACAATGCCCTTGAATCACAGAGTGCTGGATTCACACCCACTATTTGTTATCCGTCTCTGCAGGTTGTCCCCCTTATTTGGGCACCAGGGTTATCTTGGGAGGGGTGTATCTGGTGGGTCAGGTTTGAAGTCACATGCACAATGCCCTTGAATCACAGAGTGCTGGATTCACAGCCACTATTTGTTAATTGTGGCTTTAAGTGAAACATTGTGATTTTGTCTCATAGATTTTGAAGCCTATTACAGTGATATCCAAGAAGCAATGCCATCTAGAGGAAGACAGAGAGGTAACTGCTTCTATGATTGTTCCGTGTAGGACCTGCATCCTGGCCCACTGTTCTCCATCTCTTCTCCACACCCTTTCTTGAAGGCTAGATTCATGTGCTTCCCCCTTACATCAAGGCCACCTGGAGCTCCCAGAGTCAGAGGGAAAGTTTAAACTCCTCTGCCTGGAACTGGTTGGCCCAAAACTTTGCTTCTAGCTTACCTCCTTCTGCACTTCTTGTATTCTGCTCCAAAAATCTCTCAGTAGCCTCAGGCCTGACGATGAGCATTCCAGCTCTCCCAGACCCTGTCAGGGGGGTCCTCTGCCTAAAATGCCTCCCCCACACTCTCCCAAGTTGCCTACTTGCCAAGCATCTTCCCTGAAGATCTGCTCTATTTACCAGTCTCTGAAGCATTTCTCAGTCTGATGATGACCCCCCACCAGCCAAGGATATTTCTTCCTAACCGTTTAATGCAGAGGGCACTGGTCTAATCATCTCTTTCTCAGTCTCTTTTACCCTGAGATCTTCAGAGAAAGCTTCCGTGACTAGCTTCTGCTAGTGTCTCCAGAGCTATTGCAGTGCTCGGCACATTAGCATCCAGTAAGGGTATTATCCAATGATGACCAGAAAATGATTTATTTATCTATCAAGTAAATGGATGACCCATTAGTAGATGATTTATCTGTCAGGAAAATAAACGGATGATGAGTGAACACTTGATTAATCTGTCTAATGAGTAGATGGAGGATTCAAGAATGATTTATCTGTCAGTGAATAGGTGGACAATTTATTTGTTGACAGAACAGATAGATGGATGGTGAGTGAGTGATTTATTTCTGGAGTGAATGGCTGGATGAGTGAGATCATGTGGCCTGGTGTCACTCTGCTTCTGTTCCTGCTGCATGTGGTCATTTCACTGCATAGCAGACAGATTTCTTTCCCCACCACAAGCCACACTGTCACCTCCAGACAGTCCCTCCAGTGGCTTCCCACCATACACAGGACAGAGGCTGTGGGCTGTGTCCCCTAGCATGACCCCAATCTCATAGGCCACCATCACACTTTATTGTCTCCCTCTGACTGCCCTTGGAAGACCCTCCCCATGGCAATTAATAAACCACACCATAACAGTGTGGTTTTTAACTCAGTATGGAAACTTCCTCCTCCAGATTTCAAAGAGCTTCTTCCATCCTGTGTTCTGAAGCCACTCTAGAGAGGTGCTCCCCACCACTTTTCCACTCCCTGCACTCTCTTTCTCTGCAAATCCTGTTTTATTTTTCTTTATCACACTTATCATTAGCTGATTTGCATTATCTATGTATTTACTTGTTTTTTTTTTCTGACTCTTTTGCTATAAATTCCAGATCACAAGGACTCTATTGGTTTAGTTCACTCCATCTCTAGTTCTTAGACCTGGACCTGGTAGACCATAATAAATATTTGTTGAATAAATAAAGGAAGGAACATGTAATTAGGCCACTAATTACATAATAACAAAGTGCATTGCTTGAATATATTTTTTTGCTGAAGACATTATTTTACACATGTGGTATTCAGCAATTGTAGAAATAGTCACTAATGTCAACATTGAGTCATTCGTGCTTTAAGGAGATCATGACTTTTTCTCTTGTTAAATATTTTTATTAGTGAATATAATTATACACAATAATATGGTTCATTGTGACCTCTTCATACCTGCATATAACATAATGTGTTCCATTTAACTCCACAGTATTTCCACTTTTCCTCCCCTCCTTCCTCCCCCGATCCCCTTCCTTTACCCCATTGCACTATCTTTTATTTATTTATTTTACTTGTTGTGTTATAATTATTTATAAAAGTGGGATTAATTGTGCTATATTTATGCATGCATGGAGCATAACATCCATGGACTTGGTTGATCTTCTTAGGGAACTACACAGGCCTCCCAGGATCAGGACTGAGTATGAGTGCTGAGGAAGAGAGCCCTGGTGAGGGGGACAACCTAGTGGGCCCCTTTCTCCTTGCCGGCAGAGCTGAGCCTGCCCTTGTGATCGACTGGCCCAAGGCCCTGATCAGCAGAGCTGTTTTCCAAGGCTACACCTCATCGGGTATGAATGTGCTCTTTGTGTCCTGATTTCCTAGCTGCTTCAGAAAACTCTGGATATCAGCCCTCAATTTCTTATAAAACTTTCCTTTTAGTAGATAAGTATTTGGAGCTGTTCTCCCTCTCCTACTTGTGTCTGTCCATAGCCCAGGGCTCCTTTACCCAGGCTAGAGCTACCTTCTGCTGTACACATGCGTCCCTCATCTACAGACTGACAGGGGGATGCATATCTGCATGCGTCCAAATGCCTTGGTGTCCACCTTGGTGTGGCTTTTCACAGATTAGACGAGCCACTTGATGAACCATTTACATGGATGGTTCAAAATGAAGCTGCCCCTGCACAGCAGTTGGGTTTTTGTCCAGTTTTCCCCAGCACAGGCATGTGGATTTTTCCCTATCTGTCGGGTGACTGCCTTTTCTAGTAATAGGTATCATTAGGCCACTCCCTAAGCTCTGAATCTCACACCATTCTTCAGTGATTTCCCCCTCACTCTTCCTTAAAACATTTTGGGAAATATCATTGCAAAATTACAATGTTTAAAAACTATCCCTGTTTATATCATCAACCTTGTTTTCTAGGTCTCTCTTGATTCAAAGGTACATGGTGTGGGGGTCAACCTGTGTCTGCTGAGGAACAAACCAGCACAGTAGGACAACAGTTACACCCAGATTGAGAATTTCTCATAACTAACATCCACAAAGACTTAAAAATTGCTTTGATATTCCTTAATCATACTTTATAATTTCATAAAATAGCAAAATTGAAAACTGAATATATTGTAAACACATAAAATAAAATCTTACCAGCATTCTCTTGCTTCTTGGGAAACTAGTACTGTTTCTGAGCCAGGATGAAAGATCCAACCTCAGTATTGCTTCTACTGGGCAGGAGAGACCTAGAAATAGGATTTCATCTCTTTAGAGAAGGTAGTAACAATCTAGTGGCATTTCCAAATACAACGTATTTTACTTTCATCCCTGGAGCAAGAGCAGAACTTGATGCCTAGGCTCTGCTTGACCCCTGTCCTGCAGGCCACTGACCTTTGCTTCCTTGTGGCTGCCTTCTCTTCTGTAGGTATCACAGAACCTATTGTGACAATAAAACCATACTCACTGAGCAGTGGAGAGACATATGTTCTACAAGCGTCTGTGGGTATGTTATGCTGCCGGTTGGATCTGGTGTGGGGTAACCATAAGTGTTTTGGCTGTATTTTCATCTTTTCTTGGAAAGGACAATCACTTGTTACTCCTGCAGACATTTGCACCAGGGTCCTAACTCCCCTTCTCTCCAGATGTCAGTTCCCTGCTCCTTTATGTTAGAGAACAAGAGCAGGAAGTGGTTGTGTTTCTGTGATTTACTCTTCCTTGAGGAATCAGGCACATGTTTAAAACAGGGTAAAAGATTGCCATTTTCCCCCAATGCTTTTGAGTCCAGGACTCACATATTCTAGGCAAACACACTGTATCCCCAGCCCTTTTTATTTTATTTTGAAACAGGCTTCACCCACGTGCATATTATTTCCCAGTGCCCAACATCCCTTCCCACATATCTATGACTCATTCTGAGATCATACTTGTAGGTAACTTCTTGATATTTTCCTTTTTAACAAGTACAGAGGATTCAACAATATTTATCTAGAGACGATGTCCACATTTTTGCATTCATTAAAACCCACCATGCATTTTCAATCTTGTATCATGCATTAACTCTCACATCACCTGAGGAAAAAACTTGAGGTTCACTTTCTTCTGAAACTTGGTAGATGGGGCAAAGATCCCCACAGATCTTCTGGATTCTTACTACCACTGTGAGCCCCTTCCTGCCCCCAAACTAAGCCAAGTCCCTGCTATTTTTTGAAGAGGGACAATGCCTGCTTTTGTTTAACAATCCCTCTTGTCCTTCTGCTGGGCCTCTTTCTCTTGCTTCTGAAATTTGTCTGAGTGACAAGCTTATAGCCATTCTTTTTGATAGGCCACATATATTATCAGCGCAGGAGACCCCTGGGAGCTTGTCCATGGGCTTGTTCTTGGGCTTATTCAGTGTCCCTGGATGGCAGGGAACAGTGAGCTGGGGGCCCAGATGTCCTGTCTTGTTTCCTTTTCCTCTGCCCCACACTCTCCCTGACAGCTTCCCTCACCTGCTATGCTCTTCCCAACACATTGGGCCACTGTGTGACTCTGTCCTTCCCATCAGAGTTATTTTAGCTGAGATGCCCATTCTTATCCTCAGGTCTTTTTCCTAACCAGTATATAACTTGTACCCTAGGGCTACTTGCTCAAATGCCTTCTTTCATAGAGATTTTCCTGGTCAGCCAGGTGGAATTAGTTACTTTTTCCTCTTGGATTTTACCTGTATTGAAGGAGCTGCCTTAGATAATATAACACATAAACAGTGTTAACACGGCCCTTAGTATGTAGCACAGGTTCTCTAGGTCCCTATTGTGACACTTGATGATGATCATTGGCATCAAGATTTTAGAGTTTGACATGCAAATTTGCATCTTATAATTCATATCAAGAAAAATACATTGAAAGATTAAAAAGTTTATGCATGAGAGGGCTGGTAGCTCAGAGGTAGAGTGCTCCCCTAGCATGTATGAGGCACGGGGTTCGATCATCAGCACCACATAAAAATAAAATAAAGATATTTATTGGGCTGGGGATGTGGCTCAAGCAGTAACGCGCTCGCCTGGGTTCCATCCTCAGCACCACATAAAAATAAAAAATAAAGTTGTTGTGTCCACCAAAAACTGAAAAATAAAATTTAAAAATTCTCTCTCTCTCTTCTCTCTCTATCTAAAAAAAAAAAAAAGATATTTGTCCACCTATATCTAAAAAGCAAATTTTTTAAAAAAAGTTTATGCATGAGAATAGTCATTATAGTGTGACTAATAATAGCAGAATGTGGAAAATAAAATGTTTAATCATTGGGAACTAATAATTATGTATACTGGGATAGCTACTCAACAAATCATATATATATACTCACGCACACACACACACACACATATATCTTAGCCATTTGGGGCATTATATGATGACATGGAAAATACTTATGATATTAATACAGTTAATAAAATGAGAAGATAAAATTGTATCAGTTAATAAATTCAACTTAGATGTCTTTATGTACATGGCTGAGGCTTAAAGAGAATAGGGGAATGGAACAGGTTTGATTTGTGGGGTAATGTGTCTGTCAGTGTCCTCTCCCCGCAGGCTTTGGTCTCTATTGGTGGGTGTTGTGTGGTTTCTGGGTAGAGAATTGGTCTGTCTCATTTACTGTCATTGCCCAGGGTCTGGGAATGTACCTTCCCCACCTAGTAAGCACCCAGTAAATGCTTCTTCTAAAATGCTTCTTCTATGAATGCATGCTTTAAGGCAGTGTTTTCAAACTCCAGCTTTTGTCAGAAACTCTTAAAAGTCTGTTGAACTATAGACTGTTGCGTCTCAGTCTTTGATTCAGCAGGTCTGAGGGGAGGCTCAAGAATCTGCCTTTCAATTCCCAGATGATGCAAATGCAGCTGGTCTGGGGACTCCCTTTGAGAACCACTGCTCTAAGTTTTTTGCTATAAAAACTTCTGTTACTGTTGTTTTCCATCCTGGCTCAAAACTCTATCCCATTTTTCTCTTAGCTTCAAAGCAAGACTTAATAGGTAAAGCCCAGCTGTACTTGACAATCAACCCAGCTCCACAGGACATGGCCTGTCATGTGCAGCCCCACCATGGTCTGGAGGCCCACACCATCTTCAGTGTGTTCTGCATGTCAGGAAAACCGGTAGGTGGCAGCCCCTTTCCTGTACTGAGACCAAAGGTAATAGCAGCTTTTGGAAGTTATGGTGAGCTCTGCATGGCATGCAGTAGGAACTAAGGCCTCTTCTTCCCATCTGTGAAGGACTTGGGCCTGCAGTCAAATGTTGGAAAGTTGTTCAAGCATGAACGGGACCTTCCCTCTCTCTAATGGAAACAAGGTCAGAATGGCCCCCAGTTTTGAAGGAGAGACAGACTTTCTTACTAGGAAACACAGTGGGATACTCAGGGCCTCTACCATATGATCAGAACAGGAGTCCCCATTACTGCTGTGCACACAAGCAGGCAGTGAGTAACTCAGAGGAATCTGACCCTGACCCTGGGGCATGTCTCTAATTTGGATTTCATTTTACTCTCCTGATTTGGGCAATGGAGAAGGTCACTATGGATATTTTTCTTTCTTTTATTTTCTTTTTTTATAGAAAGTTTGTGATGATTAGAGAGGTGTGTGAAGGAACAAATGCTTCATTCTGTGACTGGGTTAGCAAGCTTCCTCTTGAGATTGGGTTGCAGGCTACAACATTGCAATCTTGGTACCATCCTCCCTGTCCTCTTGCACTATACACTGCCTGTCTCTGCCCTTTTGTTCTGCCTCTGTCACTTCTCAAGAAGCCCACACATGTCCTTAGGAGAGACAAGGCCCAGGTCTTTCCTCAAAGTCTAGTTCCAAAGGCCTCTGCTCCTAACAGAGTGTGTGTCCCATCTCCTTTCTCTGTTGTCACTCATGTTTACATTGTGCCTAGCTACTGCAGGGGGCAGCAGGATCCTCTTCACCTAGAGGAACCCTTGTCAGTCTGATTCATGACTGACAGGACCCTCCAGGCTGGAGAGCTAGCAGACCCTGAGTGAGGAATCTTGTTTTATTCCTGCTTTGGATCCTTTGGAAGAGAGCTCTGTAGGGAAGAATTGTGCAAGTGGAACCAGGAGAGCTCTGCACATTGTTGTGCATTGTTGTGTAGCCGGAGACCGTGTTTGACTCTCATTTATTCTGTTTCTGGCTGCAGCATATGTCCTTGGGTGCAATGAAGGTTGCAGATGTATATTTATAGATGATGCCATTCAAATGAAGTATCCTATATTTTTTCTCCCCATAGGACTTTCATTATGAATTTAGTTACCAGATAGGAAACACCTCCAAACACACCCTATACTATGGGAGAGACACCCAGTATTATTTTGCATTGCCAGCTGGTGAGCCCTCAGACAATTACAAAGGTACGTAACAGTGTGAGTTGGATCACTAAGCTCCAGACATTTTCTCCTGATTTACAAAAGCTAAAAATTTTTTAAAACTATGTGTGTAGAAATTAAAATTATTTATTCACTTTGATGAGTTTAATGTTTTTTAGTTTAGTTTGATTACCTACCTTTTGGTGCAGGAAGAACATTAGAATAAATATCAGTAAATACACATACACACACATACACACACCACACATTTTAAATTTTAAATGACATATAATATAGATAATAAAATGCCAAAGAATTTTTATATGAATTAAATAATTAACACCAATCTATCTCTTATTTACTAATGAAATATGGCGTATCTAGTGAATCTTGCATTTAGTATAAGTGAAACCAAATCAAGGTATTCAGACCAAAAAAATAATGTGAGATAAAGTATTAAAATAATATAAAGTAATGTTGAGTTAGCAAATTAATTATAGATCCTTTGTTAGTTCACTTCTCACTACTATCACAAATATCTGAGATGAATCAAATTAAAAAGAGGAAAAGTTTATTTGGGCACACAGTTTTGGAGGTTTCAGTCTATAATTCATTGACACCATTGCCTTGTGCCTGTGGCAGCACGGTGTATCATGGCAGGAGCAAGTGATGTGGAGGCTCATTTACTTCAAGTCTGGGTATGAAAGAGGAAGGAGTACCCTATGAGGGCACACCCCCAATGACAGGAAGACTTTCCTCTAGGCCCCACTTCTTAAAGGTTCTACCACCTCTGAGTAGCACCAAGCAAGGGACTAAGCCTTGAATGCATGAACTTTTGTGATGAATTTCATATATAAACTCTAATCCCCAAGCAAAATGAATCCCATAGTGTGGGAAACTTTCTACTCCTATCCCTGCCCCTGAAGTCCTGTCCATTTCTAAATCAGCACTTGGGAATGGACCTCACCTGAACATATAAGAGATTCCATCATTTAACACAGTACCTGGGTAGGCACAACCCAGTGTGGTTAAATTAGACTCTTCAGGGTGACTGCTATTTTTTGTTTGTTTGTTTGTTTTTTAACTTCTGGACAGTTGCTCTGTGCAGGCAAGGTTGAGAGTCACTAATCTAGAAGATTCTTTGAACTGAGTTGATATGACTATTTCAGCCCCAGTTCTGAACTAGGTCATGTCCCTGATGTATTGAAATCTCACCTCTCCTTTGAGTCTAGTGAAAGTACTTTCTCTGTGAAATCTTGCCTGTCACCTCCAATTAAAACACTTGTACTTTCTTTTAGATTCTAGTCAAATTGAGCAAAACTTTCCTGAGCATGGTGCAGTTGTGAGCTTTCTAATCATGTTCCACTTTGTGATGCCTTTGTACTTCCATCTGAGCTTGAGGTTTGGTGAAGTCAAGCAACAAAAGGCTAGCACAGTAGATGTTGACCGAATGGTTGATTTTGACTTTCATGAGCTTGCCCTAATAAATCCTAAAATGCTAAATTGCATTCAACTTCTGTCCTTTGGAAAGTATTCTCATGATGGATGCTCATCCCAAGCTCCCCCAAGTCTCAGTAGAGGGTCCGAAGCCAGGGATATATGTTAAGAGCTTGGTCAGAGCAGAATGTGTCCTTCAGGCAAGGAGGCCCAACCTCCATAGGCAACCTTCTTATATGAAGACCTGGCATGTCCCTCCCCTGAGAGCTGCATGTGGGGTATGAGGGGCCTCAGTTCACAAGGCCTGCCACAGACTATAGAGCTAGCCAGATATCCAAACAGAAGAACTTGGGCCTGAGCACCATGTTGACAGATTTTTTAGAATCAAATTTCAGGTCACAATCCCGGAGTAGTGTCAGGGTTAGTGATGGTACTCAGGTCCTTCACAAGTGTGATTTTGCTTCTAATGTTCATGATTATCATAATCAATTCCTATGAATATCTGCATTCAATATTAGATACATAATTAGATACAAAATTAGATACATAATGCATACCTTATTATGTTCCATCTTTTGCACAAATTAATATGGCACCTACTAAGTGTGTAAAATTGAACAATCTTACCCAAAGCCTACTTTTTTCTCTCATATTCTGTATCATGATTCGTAGGACCAACATTTTATGCAGTGGGGGATTTATAATATTGGAGCTTTGCCAGGCATTATAGTGCACACTTATAATCCCAGTAGCTCAGGAGGCTGAGACAGAAGGATCACAAGTTCAAAGCCAGCCTCAGCAACTTAGGGAAACCCTAAACACTCAGTGAGACCCTGTCTCTAAATAAAATACACACAAAAAAGGGCTGAGGATATGGTTGAGTGGTTAAGTGCCCCCCTGAGTTCAATCCTTGATACCAAAAGAACCCAAAAAACAAAATTGGAGCTTCTAGGGGCCCACACAATATTTACTGACTCAGAAATATTACCGGGGAAAAGGCAGAACCTAGAATTTTCTTGTAGGCAAGCTTTCCAGTGATGCAGGTGTCTGGGACCACATCTTGAGAAGAAATGACCTCTAAAATTAAGTTCCCAAACCCTTAGCATTGGGATTCAAATTGAAGATGTTATGAAGACACCAGGGTGCATAGATCAACACACCATGTATCTTCTTGTGTAAGTCACACATCTGCACCTATGACCCTCACCACTTGATAATCACCCATACTCTGAGCTCATCTGCAGGTCTCCTCAGCATACCTGGAGCTGTTACCACATGGAGGGATTCCTAAGACCCAGCAGAGCCATTTCCTGCCACATTCCTATGTCTTCATGCAAACTTCCTTCAGTTAGACTTTGTCTTCACCTTTCTTCTAGACCTGTTAGATCTATACACGTCATTTAGGAACTGATTAAAATATTACCCCAGCCCTTGATGGACCATCAGGGAGACTATATTTCACTCTGTGAGCTCCCCGTGGCCCTGGCATTCACCCTGTTTCAGCACTCCTCACGTTGCTAGTGGACAGGATTACTTGTAGGGCACAGACAATCCTTTTTGGCCATAACCTCCTATCCTGCCACAGGCTCACCTTTTGTGGGTCAAATGAGTGAATGGGGGAGCACGTGAATAAATGAGTCATTCCCTGACACCCACAGCATACAATGGTGCCTTCTGCCTACCAACTCTCCGTGACACCGCTTGTCTTCCCTGTCTGATTGGCACTCAGTGCCTTGTACTGATGCTCAGATTTTTATGTTAGGGTGTGAGATCTTCCCAGAAGTGGAGAACCTGAAGTACCACTCCCATGCCTTGCCTTATTGTAGTAGCCCTTGAAGCAACCGTCATCATTCCATCATATGGATCTGCTCAAAGGAGATTCTATTTGCTGGTTTGTTGGTAACCACAGTGTAAGCACCTTGAGAGGGCAAACAGCCTGCAATTTCCTCTCATCCTGCGCTTTGCCAGGACTAAGCTCATCCACCTGGTGCTGCTCAGTTGCTCTCAGGGTGTGAAGAGGCATCTCTGTAGCCACCTATTCAGGATGACCCTCCTGTCATGTTCTCTCATAGTCATCGTTTCTACTGAGATCACAGACAGCAAAGGCTCCAAGGCACTGGCGTGCTCTGTGGCGGTGACCGTGCTGCCCCGTTTCCATGGGAAAGACTGCCTCAGCGAGGACCTGTGAGTACCACACCACACAGACATCCGAAGCAGTGTCCATATTTCCTCAGGGGGCAGCAGCAAGGCAGAGTGGCAGGAACTGATTTCAGGATGGGCAAAAGGAGAAGTTGGGGTTCTGTCACTATAGTCCTGTTGACTCACCTTTCTGTGGCATCTGTGCCAGTGCTTCAGAACCCATGACACACTTTTTGCTTTCTTTAGAACTGTTTTATGAAGGTATCATTTACCTGTTATATAGTTCACTCACTAAAGGTGTGCGATTCCTTGGTTCTTAGTACTCTTACAGAATTGTACAATCTTCAGCACAATCTAGTTTTAGACAATTTTCACGACCATAAAATGTATTTATTATAATGTGCTCATTAGTTGCCACTCCTGTACCCACACCACTATCTTTAGTTTCCTCCTCCCAGCCCCAGCCCCAGCCCCAAGTAGTCACTAATTTTACGTCATGTCTACCAATTTGCCTATTCTTGGAATTTCAATGGGATGATATGAAATGTGATTTTTAATAACTGTTTTTCTTCATGAATGTTTCTGAGTTTTATCTATATGTATCATATATTAGTACCTCATTCCTTTTTATTTTTGAATATTATTTATTGTATAGATATATCACATTTTGTTTTTTTTATTTTTAAATTAATGGACATGTGGGGTTTTTTCCCACACTTTGGTTCTATAACAAACCATTCTGTTCTAGGCATTCTTGTGTGAGATTTTGTGTGCAGGGATGCTGTCAGTTCTCTTGAGTAGGTAACTGGAAGTGGAACTACTAGTAACTCTGATAACCATGCATAACTTCTGGTAACACTGACAACCATGATAAATCTAGTTTTAGCATTTGGAATAATGCCAAAATGTTTTCCAAAATGGCTGTACCCTTTTGTATTCCCACCAACACTGGATGAGGGTACATCTTAACAAACACTGGTTGTTGTCTGCTTTTTGATTATGGCTATTCTAATGAGTGTCATTGAAGTTTGGATTTTCATTTCCCTATGCTCTATGATGCTGAGCATCTTTTCATGTGCTTTGGGTATCTTCCTTCTAGATATTTATTCATCCACTTTGCCCATTTTTTATTTGAATTATTTTTGTTCTTATGATTAATTTGTGGGAGTTTTTTTGTAGGCATTGCATACAAATTCCTTTAAAGATATGATCTACAAATGTATTCTCTCAGTCTCTTTTCATTTCACTTTCTTGATTATCCATTGAAGAATAAAAGTTTTTGAAGACCCTACTTAATTTTGAGTAGCCCAATTTAATTATCTTCTCTTTTATTCCTTGTGTTTTTTATGTCAATCTATGAAATTACTGCCTAGTGAAATAATACAAAGACTTACATCTGTATTTTTTCTTAAGAGTTTTTGTATTTTTAGGTCTTACATTTAAGTTTATGATCCACTTAGAGTAAATTTGTGTGTGTATGTGTATATATGTGTGTGTGAGTTTGTGTGTGTGTGTGTGTGTGTGTGTGTGTGTGTGTGTGTAGGGCTCCACCTGCATTCTTTAGCATATGAATATCCAAACTTCTAAGCACAGGTTGTTGAAAACTGTTTCCTCCACAGAATTGTCTTTGGCTTTCTGTCAAAAATCAACACCACATGTTAGGGTTTATTTCTGGATTCTTCATTCTGTTCAATTTTCTAGATATCTCTTTTACACCAATGCTATGCTTTTTGATTACTGTAGTTTTGTAGTAAACTACAGTAACTGAGAAGCCTGAACCAAATTTTGTTATTTCTTCATAAGATTTGGCTGTCCCAAATTCCTTGAAGTTCCACATGACTTTTTAGAAGCATCTTGTTAGTTTCTGCAGAAGCAAAACAGAGCATAGGTGCCACAGTGACTGGTGTTGGCCACCCTCTCTCTTGCTCCAACTTAGCCTGCCCTTCCTAATACTGTGGGCTAGGGCTACCAACACCTATGAAGGTGTTAAAAAACAAAACAAAGCAAAAGCTAACTAGGATTTTCATAGGGATTTTCTAGAATATATAGATCAGTTTCAGAAGTATCACTATCTTAACATTAAGTCTTCCAATTCATGGACATGGGATGTCTCCTATTTTTTAGACCTTTAATTTCTTTCAACAATGTTTCATAGTTTTCAGTAGGCACATCTTGTATTTCTTTTTTTTTTTGAGTTTATTTATGAGTATTTCACTATTATTGATGTCATTATAAGTGGAATTATTTTCTTAGTTACATTTTTGAATTTTTATTGTAGTAGATAGATAATTGATTTTGCATATTGATCATGTATCCATATAACCCTGCTAAATATGTTTATTTCAGTAGTTTTTTTAGCACTTCCTCTGGGGCTTTCCATATATAAGATTGTTTAATCTATAAATAGAGACTGCAACACTGTGATCTTTCCAGTCTGATGCCTTTTATTCCTTTTTTATTGCCTGATCAGTTCTTGCTAGAACCTCCAGTTTAATGATTAGGGGGAAGTATTTAGTATTTCACCTTGTGTTTAGTATGGTGTTAGCTATTAGTTTTTCGTAGGTGTTTGTTATTGGGTTGAAGACGTTCCCATCTATTCCTAGCTTATTGGGTGTTTTTAATCATGAAAGTATGTTGAATTTTTTCAAATGCTCTTGCTAGGCCTATTGATGTGATTATATGGTTTTGGTCCTTTATTCTAATTAACAAGTTAATAAGGTTTGGATACTTGGGTTCATGCTGACACTTTATTTCCAGTGTAACAGTATCAAGGTTGGGGGGCGGGTAGGGGGCTTTGGCCATCATGAATGGGATTAGTACCCTTTTAAAAGGGCTGGAATGACCCATCTAGGCCCTTGTTACCCTTGCATCTTCCACATGAGAATGCAGTGTTCTCGCTCTCTTGAGGAAGCAACAGGGTGCCATCTTGGAAGCAGAGAGCATCCCTTACCAGACACTCATCCTGTCAGTACACTGATTCTGAACTTCCCAATCTCCAGAACTGTGAGAAATAAATTTCTGTTCTTCCTATTTCATCCAGTTTCAAGACTTTTGGGGGTTGGGGCTGGGGCTCAGTGGCAGAGCGCTTGCCTTACACATGTGAGGCATTGGGTTCGATCCTCAGCACCACATTAAAAAAATAAAGAAAGAAAGATTTGTGTCCATCTATAACTAAAAAATATTTTTAAAAAAGAATTTTGTCATAACTTCCCAAACAGATAAGACACAAGTTATATTTATATATGATCATTTTTCACATGTTGAATCACTTTTACATTTCAGTAATATATCCCATTGGTCCTAGCATATAATTCTCTTTCTGTGTGGGTGGATTTGGTTTTGCTAATATTATACTTCGGAGTTTTGTGTCTACATTCATAAGCATTATTGGCTGGTAGTTTTCTTTTAGCTTTGCCTTTGTCTGGTTTTAGTGTCAGGGTAATACTGCCCTCAGTCTATTTACAAGTGTTCTTTTGTATTATTTGGAACATTTTGTGAGGATGAGTATCAATTCTTCTGTGAAAATTTGATAAAAATTATGAGTGAAATTATCTACATCTGTATTTTCTTTTTGGAAAGTTTTAAAATTACTAATGTAGTCTCATAGTTTTAGTCATTTGTTTCTTTCTAGAAATTTTCTCATCTATATTCTGTAATCTTTTGGTACACAGGATTTTTTAAAAGAATAGAATTGCATTGTAGTCCTTTTTATCTCTATATGGTCAGTAGTGATATTCATTTTATTCATTATTTTAATAATTTCATTATTTTCATTTTGTGTCTTTGTCAGTCTAGCTAAAGATTTGTCAGCTTGGATGATCTTTTCAAAGAACTACTTAGGGTTTCTGATTTTTTTTTTTCAATTTCATTCATTCCTGAACTAATCTTTAACATTCCTTTTCTTCTGCTTGTCTGGGTTTAGTTTGCTTTTCTTTTTCTTGTTCTCTATATAGGCTAATTATTTGATATCTTCTTTCAGACATTTGTAGCTATAAATTTCACCCCAAGCACTACTTTAACTGTATCCCGGGTACTTTCCTTCATTAATTTCAAAGTGTTTTGTCATTTTCCTTTCTGCTGCTTCTTGAACCATTGGTTCTTTATGAATACGTCATTTAATTTTCACATATTCATGAATTTGCCAAATTTCTTTTTGTCTTTGATTTCTAATTTAATTCCATCATGGTCAGAGGATGTACTTTGTATCATTACAATAATTTAAATTTTATTGAGTTTTTTAATGGCCTACATATATGGTATATTCCCCCAAAAAATCCTTTACTTGAGAAGAATGTGTATTCCACTTTTGGGGGTTAAAATGTTCTGTGGATATCTGTTTGGCCTATTTCCTTCATGTTATTGTTTTACTCTTACAAAGCTTTATTGATTTTCTTCCTTGTTTTTCTACCCATTATTGACAGTATAATTTATTTTTTTTTCCTTTCCCTATAGGTCTGTTGGTTTTTGCTTCATGTGTACAGCATCTGTTGTTAGGTCCCTATATATTTATAATTTCTTTTATCTTCCTAATATTTTATCATTGGGAAATGTTCTTTATCACTAATACTTGTTTTTGTCTTAATTTATTTTTAGTCTGATATAAATATAACCTTTCTAGGTGCCTTATAGTATCTATTTGTATTTATGTCTTTTTCAGCCTACATTTATCCTTTAGTTGCATCTTATTTTCATAGCCAGTCTTTTATTCCCTATCTTTTGTCTGGATTGTGTGACACATTCACAGTTTTTTGCTATTATTAGAATCATTGAATGTAGGGTGTACTATTTTACTTTTGTTTTCTACATGTCCTATGATTATTTTGTTCCTCTCTTCTTCCTTTATCACCTCCTTTTTTCTTAAAAGAATATTTTGTATTTTACCATTTTAATTCCCTTAATGATTTTTTACAAATATTTGTTGTAGATGGACACAATACCTTTATTTTATTAATTAATTCCTATGTGGTGCTGAGGATCGAACCCAGTGCCTCATACATGCTAAGTAAGCCATGTGCTCTACCACTAAGCCACAACCCCAGCCCTCC